TTCTTTTGTTTTTTTTTTTTTTTTTTTTTTTTTTTTTTTTTAAATTATAAGAGAGAAGAGACATGAGATAACAAAAGAACAATTCAAATAATTGCTTGTTCGGTGACAGCAGTTGTTGTCTTTCAAGAGGAAAATTTTGACAAACATAAAACGTACTTGACACGTGGATATCGCGCATACGTTAAGACAACGAGCTAAATTATTGCTTTTTGTCACATCTTGAGTTGTGGAGGAATATAACTAAAACAAAACAAAAAGAATCATTTCCGAGTATGCTAACGGCATTAGTTACATTTTCTTTGTACCCGTGCACAAGGATAAATAATTTAATACGCGATACTCAGATTATCACGCCTTTCAAGGAAGCCAGCTCATTAGATAAATCGTTGCGGAAAGAGATAATGCAAATCAAATATATCATTCGAGAAAAATATTAATAAAAATATTTAGAAAAACTTGATCATAAAAAATAATGAGAAATAAATGTTTAACCCCGAATCGGCGATTTAAAATCGTATTATTTTAATTAAAAATTGCAAATGCATTGTAAATTCAAATTTTTCAGGGAAGATTGTTTGTCGGTAGATTTACATTAATACAACCATCTTTGAAGTAATAATTTAGGATTTAAGGAAGAGTCAACCCGGAGAAGCAATGAAGTTCTAAAATATCTTATAATTTATAAAATATATATATATATATATATATATAAGTATATATTATGTTATATCTCAATATCTCAAAGGAAAAATAAAAATAAATTTCACGATTAGAAGATTAATGATAGAACACCGTGCTTGTGTTAGACGTGTTATGCAAGAGGTGTTAGATTTCGATGAAAAATAATTATTCGATTAAATCTAGTCACATAAGAGAGTTAAGAGCCGTCGTATGTGTAAACTATTTATTTTGTGACGTAACGACGGAGGTCTCTGACAAATCAATTTATACACATGAAAATTGACACATGTATTCCATAGAAGAATTAAATTACATAAGAGGGTATTGCTAGTTTTTTTTTTATCAATAATAATGCAAACTGCATGAAAGCACGGAATTTGGCGCAATATTGCAGAATAAAATTAAAACGGAGTTTGAATTATTGTATTGACATTGAAATTAATATAACACATTCGATTTATCAATTCAGTCTAAAGATTTGGACGAGACCGAAATAGTCCTGTGAGTTAAAGGATCAGTGATTCCTCGTCAACTTAATTTTTCTCGATTTTATTTCTCGTTCAAAAATCCCACCCCTCATTAAAATGTAGGTCTCTTCATCTTTCATATTTTTATCTTTTTCACAGGTGAACGTGCGAATTTCGTGAACAAGCCTCATGTGATCGCGATGGTCGGCTTGCCGGCTCGCGGCAAGACTTACATATCCAAAAAGCTGTGCCGATATCTCAATTGGATCGGTATCAGTACGAAAGTCTTCAATCTGGGCGAATACAGGCGGCATGCTACTACGGCCTATCAATGCCACGAATTTTTCCGTCCTGATAACATAAAGGCCATGGCGATACGCACGCAATGCGCGAAGGACGCCCTGAATGACGTCTGCCAGTGGCTGGAGAGTGGCGATGGTGAGGTAGCCGTTTTCGATGCCACCAACTCCACGGTTGAGAGACGCCAGCTTATACGTGATATCGTCGTAAGGAAGATGGGTTTCAAGCTCTTCTTCGTCGAGTCTGTGTGCAATGATCCGGAAATCGTTGAGCAGAATATTATGGAAGTATGTGTTTGAGAAATAGCCAGAGATAGCGGATGAACAATAAATTGACCTGCGTACATATGATACAATTTTAATTTGATTTTTGGGATAATTAATATTGTAAAGATCTTGAATGTCAATATTATATACGGAAATACCCATTGGTTAATATATTATATAGTATCTCTCTCTCCTTTTCTCTTTCATAGATTCATGAATAAATATGATTCTTGCTGTGCAGGTGAAAGTCAGTAGTCCGGATTACGCGAATATGAAAAAGGAGGACGTGCTCGCGGACTTCATGCTGCGAATCGAGCATTATCAGGAGCGATATCAGCCGTTGGACGAGCAGCGCGAGAGCGACCTGTCATTTATGAAAATATATAACACCGGCGAGAAGGTGCTGGTCCATAAGCACGAAGGCCATATACAAAGTAGAATAGTTTACTATCTTATGAACATTCATATTGTGCCACGCACGATTTACTTGACCAGGCACGGTGAGAGCCTGATGAACCTCGATGGCAGAATCGGCGGCGATTCGGACCTGAGCGAGCGGGGACATGAATATGGCAAGGCACTGGCGGATTATATCAGTAGTCAGAACATACAGGTAACTTTCCTTGACCTTTTCTATCTATATTTTATTGATTTATTAATTATATGCTTATATATATATACACATAGCGATGAAGATATTAATTTTGATTCTAGTCATTATAACTCCAATTTTTAATAATAAGATAAACACAGATAGGATCGTTTATTAAAGTTATTTGAGATATATGTATTTAATGATCAAAGTGTGCGCATTTTACATGCATTATATAAGCGTCGTATTAGTCTTCGTATGTTACTTTGATTGCACACTTGACTCTTGAAGCCTCATGTGTTACGTTAAATAATATTACATCTGCATATACAGGGTTTGAGAGTTTGGACTAGCTGGCTGAAGAGGACCATTCAAACTGCGGCTGATGTAAAAGCTCCGCAAGAAAGGTGGAAGGCTCTCAATGAAATTGATGCTGTAAGTTGAAGCATTAATAAATAATATTGGATAATTAATCAATTTCTCACCTTTGTGTTTTTACATGATTCGATCACAGGGTATTTGTGAGGAGATGACTTATGAAGAAATTGCCTCGAAATACCCAACGGACTTTGCCGCGAGAGATCAAAACAAGTTCTCGTATCGTTATCCCAGGGGGGAGAGTTACGAAGATCTCGTCGCACGACTTGAGCCGGTGATAATGGAGTTGGAACGTCAGGGTAACGTTTTAGTGGTTAGTCATCAAGCGGTTCTTCGATGTTTACTCGCTTATTTCCTGGATAAGAGCGCAGGTCTGTATCTAAGATATTTTATTAAACTTATCTTTAAAAATTATCTAGATTAAAATTATTTAGATTAAAAAAGAAATAACCCAAATAATCTCAGTTGATGCCTGATATGAGCATGGAGATATTGAAATATCAAAGCGCAAAATGCAACTTTTGACCTTTGACGTATTAAAATGTATTGAGAAAGTAGATAAATGTCCATGCATACAAGAACGGATTATAGTATTTATTCGGAACAGTTTCTCATTATAGATTCTCCTTTCTAATATAATAATGTACACGAAAAGTGTCTATATACAAGATTCTTTATTTCTCTGTAGCTAATAGAGTTGTTTTCTTTCTCTTTCAGACGAGTTACCGTATTTGGAAGTACCTCTGCACACCATCATGAAATTAACACCGGTCGCTTACGGCTGCAAGGTGGAGCACATTCGACTACCGATAGAAGCCGTGGATACTCACCGGCCGAAACCAAAGGTAGAGATAGTCATAATCAGATCGTAACGAGTGTGCCTTCCTTCCTCGAGCGTGTTTCACTTGCTGAAAATAGATAGATAGCAAGTGTCCTCCTGTTGGCTTGCTAATTTTTGACACCACAATACTATACCAATACAATATTTTAATTCCATTTAAACAATATTTGTGTGTTGCTTATGTTTTAATGTTCTCAGAATACCTGACTGTTAGCTGTAGCAGAAAAACGGACTATTTCCTTGTATCTAATCAAAACCTCATCCTAGAATCATCTGCATTCGTCAAAAACCACTTTCATGAATTAGAAATTCGTCGCATGCATTTTTCCTATGAATCTGGAACAAACATTGTTATTTGTGTGCAGTACTATAAATTTTTACATGTTTACATTATATGAAATCATGTTGTTACGTAACGTCACACGACGTTATTCCTATTTGAATTGTAAAAAATTATTGTAGTCATATTTTTGCTGGACAATTATTAATTTATATTTATATTTATTTGTGCCATTCTTTCAGAATATGACTGTAAGCAGCGATATTGCGAAATTATTATAACACTAAACGCTAATGTGTATTCATATTAAGCTCGTTCACAGCGATAGAATGATGGCAGTTTTTACAATTTAAACTTATCAATGTATAAAAGTTGGATATTTAGATATTTAAATATGCTCGCTTAAAAAAAAGGTAACGAATTTTAATTAGAAATTCATATAATAACGTTAGAATTAAATAATACATTTTTGAAGATTGTATTTTTTAGTTAAAAAACTTACGAAACATTAATTATAACAAATTAATGGAATGTGCAAATGTAGATAATAGAAGTAAATGGTTACTAAAGATTGTATCTTCGTACTTACACAAAGCAAAGTTATACTTATAAATGTGCAATTATTTATTCTTGCGTAAGACAGCATCGCGAAACTAAGCTATTAAAGGTTCACAAAGATCAAAACTGCAATATAGCCACTGATCTCAATTGTTTTATATGCCAATAAAGTCTTTTTACGGTAAACCTATTTTTACAGCGTGTATCCTCGGTAAAGTATCCTTGTATCGATTGCGTATGTTCTTTTTTATCTCTTTCTTTCTGTCCACAGCACACGTATTGGCAAATGCTAAAATGTTTGTTGTGAAACTTTCAATTTTCAGATTCCGGGATATCTAGAAGAGCGATTCCGAGGGAAAGGGAAGGTACTATGCACGTGATAGCAACGAATTTCGTAAAGCACGGCGCAGCTATTCCCTACCGTTGAATATACCGAGATGCTGAAGCGGCATAGATTCTCGCGTACGTCGATAGAATTGGCGCGCATCCGAGCCCCTTTCTTCCTATGTGTGTCAAAAGCAAGCTAGAGACATGAGACTGCGATCGGCAGTGTACCTATCTGCGAAACCTATAGGCACAGACGGAGGATTCTCTGCGAAGACGCGAGTTCCGCATGACGAGCGGACACATAACACACATACACACACACACACACACACACACAACAAATAATATATACTGCGCGTTATTTTGTGTTATTTTTATTATTTTTCGATTGGCATCTAGGTAGATAGCGAGAAAATATGTGATACTGGATGATTAACGACGAGAAGAATCCGTTGACGCGGACAATAGGCGACAATTGACTTTTCTAGACATGCGTTTCTCTCTGGAATCGCGCATTTTTTTCTGATCAGCGCGTGCTTTTTTGAAGTTTTTTTGAAATTTGCTCTTGCGAAGAAAAAGTATCCTGACAAACAGTACGTCGTACACGATACATATGTGATTTTCCAAGAATTGTATGTATCCTCAATCGACAGATACTTCGAAACGATCGCTCGCGAAATATAAAAGCGAATGATTCCTTTTTTTTTTTTTTTTTTTTCCCATTATTATTTTATCTCTGGGATAATCTTCGGATATGTCCGTTAGAGAATTATTTCGAGGCGGATCTAAATATCATAAGAATTGTGATGTTGATAATAATACTCGACTACATAAAAGTACCGAGATATAGTACAATATCTTAGATTTTGCGATAATACTTCCAAGCAAGCTAACGAACACATACAGTCCATTGTCTAACATACACGCTGCGATCTTATACGTTAAGTAGCTGAATTACGGTATATTTCGATTACGAATATATGTATCTCGATCGATGAGAAACATATAATAAATAATACATGCAATTTTATGAGTTCACCTACTGATTTAGATTCCCGTTCGACGTTCGAATTACGTGAGACATTTGTTCTGTGAACTAGTGTCACTCGAGCATAAACGAGTTTTCATCCATAGGAATATTAATAGAATCATCAGGATTGGTAAGTATTCTTTTCTTCATACTTGAATGTTTTTCTACAGAAGAGAGAAGAAAATAAATACAAGAAATTACTCTCAAAATGTCTCTGATTAAAAAATCGTACAAAAGAATTTTTAATTCGTAAAACACGAATTAAAAGTACGTAGAAAAGGGTTTTTAATTTTTGGTTTAATAAGAATTTAAAATATTTACATACAACTCATAAAATGGCGGATGGACATGCTGAACCAGGTTGATCCAATCAATGTATCAATTTTTTAAATCTTTAATTGCTATAAGATATTGACTTTCTTAAAAATTCATACATTTTAGAATACATGTGTTCAAAATATGTATTCACTAAATATGTATTCAAAATACGACGCCATATTGATTTCCGGCGTTAGATGTCTGAACTGAGTTGCTCGTAAATATTTATATAGAGAGAACAAGAATATGTTTGAATAATTCTTTAGGATCGCGATTTTATGACAGATATGTGATATCGAACTTATCGCTAACGCAATGGCATCTACGAATGAGTTCGGTCCAGATTCTGGAGGTAGAGTGAAGGTAACCTAAAATGTATCTCTTGCCGATGACATAACCTACATATTTTGGCACGATATTATTTTACATTGCAAAAATTAATGTGTTACATTAATTCTGTTTCTTTTAACTGAATTTTTGCTATTTAGCTTTTTTTTCTTTATTGGAGAAAAAAGGAAAAATGGATGATATAAGAAGTTTGAATTAAAAAAAAAAAAAAGACAGATTTTTTTCATCGAGCAATTTGTTTGTATATAGGGAGTTACCATCGTCAAACCTATAGTTTACGGTAATGTAGCACGATATTTTGGCAAAAAGAGAGAGGAGGATGGCCACACTCATCAGTGGACTGTATATGTCAAGCCATATAACAATGAGGACATGTCCACTTATGTGAAGAAGGTACATTTCAAGTTACATGAGAGTTACAATAATCCTAATCGAATCGTAACGAAGCCACCGTATGAATTGACGGAAACCGGCTGGGGAGAATTTGAGATAGTCATTAAGATCTACTTCCACGATCCAAATGAACGTCCTGTGAGTGAGCGATTTGCCATAAAAATATTGCTATGATATTTTTTTTAATTAGATTATTATTTTACTAATTGTAAACACAAAAAAGGAACAAGAATGAATTAATTTCAGGTTACAATATATCACATATTAAAATTGTTTCAATCGACACCTGAGATACAGTTGGGGAAGAAGAGTCTGGTGTCCGAATTTTATGAGGAAATAGTCTTTCAAGATCCAACAGCATTGATGCAGCATCTGCTAAGTTCCAGCAGACCTATGACTCTTGGTGTTTGGCGGCATAATACAGATTGTTTGTATAATAATATGCCTCTTATTTTCTGATCAATTCAATGGTAATTTAATAAATTAATAATTATTCTTACAGTTGAAGCAATGAAGGACTCTACGATGAAAGCCATTATGGAGGCACGCAATAAAATAAGACTCGAAGTGATTGATTTGAAAGAAAAATTGACTTTAGCAAAAGAGACTATTGCAAAATTTAAGGAAGAAATTGCAAAGATTTCTAAAGCTGGTGGGAGTTTATCTGTTGCATAGTTTTCATTTTGGAATGGAAATATTGAATAAATCATACATTGATATAGATTATTCCAAGACAAAATTGTTTTATGTATTTGTATAAAGTGTATATAACTTCATAATTATGACTTGTATTCTAACTTAACCTTAAGTAAGTAATAAAATCTTTTTATATTATAACTAATATTATTGGAAAATAAAAAGAAGTTGTTCTTTAACATGAGCAACTTTTATTAATTATTTTAATAATTTTAATCAAAATTTTAATTCCCAATTATTTCTATTTCTTTAATATTGTTGCACAAAATTTTTAATGTAAATATTTTATTTCTGTTTTGTCTTATCTATTTCAAGAAAATAAATTTCTATATGCTAAGCTATTTAGGTACTGAAAAATGGGTTTATTTTAATAATAATCTTTAATGACAATATGTGCTACTAATAATTACAAAATAGATTTTCAAGAACGTTGAGAGTGGACTCAATTCCTGAAAAAATTTTTTATTCTCAAAATTCTGATACTCTATATGCTGTGACTAAAATTATTTATCTGTGATTATCGAAAATTGCAATGTATACTTAATTTTTATATTATTTATGTAGTTTATTAGATATTTATATATATGTACATTTTTAAAATTTTAGTATATAAAATAGGCTTTTATAAAAAAAAAAAACTAACAAATTTTAAACGTTTGTAATTTGAGAAAACAAAAATAATGTCAACAGCACATGGTATTCCCAAGCGGTCACCCATCCAAGTACTAACCATGCCCAACATATCTTGACTTCAGTGATCGGACGAGAACTGGTATTTTAAACGTGGTATGACCGTTGACGATTAAGAGATTTTTGATTCTTGCTGATGAAAATATACTTTGAATTAAGATAAAATCATTGAAAACAATTTGAAAATGAATTAAGATAATAAAAGCTTCATCTCAAGCTTCGGGAAAACATTTTTTTTTTTCATTTTGTTCTTTTCAGAATTTTGAAAAACCCTATATACTGTAGTCATCAAATAGTTGATGACATATATTTTATTTATATATCGCTTTATGCATTTAATATATAAACGCAATCGTCAAAAAAAAAATAAAAATGTAACAAAATTATATTAACTAGACTTCTTTTAAATCTTCAGATGTCAGTAAAATATGTACCGTCTTTTCCTTGTTTGTTGAAGAAAAGAATCATCATGAGATTAGAGATCATAGCAATTGATCGTCGCTGACATTTTCGTTCGATAACTGAGTTATCACACTGTAGTGTTGTCGACGCAGGAAATATGATGTAAACTTAAGTCAAAATTACTAGATATGAGTGGCAGACGTATGTCAGCATACGACGCTGGCGCAGCCAGCTTTCTTGCTCTCCAGCTGGATCAGCAGTGTGGAAAAAAATCAGCTCTTTCATCCCGATAAAAATGAGCGCGGTCACCGAAGAGAATACGTGAGCATTGTGCATTGTGCATTTGTGGTTTTCATTCATCGCATTGAATCGTCGCGCGTCTTTCGCTTGGTCTGCTGGTCCGCTGGATCATCGACTATTCTTGACCGAATCTCGGTCGTGCGACGGCGCGTGATTCACGAGTGTTATATAATACTGAACCGGCTAGTCACTCCGGTGCGAGTATGCGAAGTGCGAGGTGTAACTTAAGAGTCACTTTTCTTTCCCGATCGATTGTAGAGCCGACGTTTCCTCAACGGAAACGCACGAGGAATGTCGATTTTTCGATAGTTCTTGGAGCTCTGATTGAAAATATTGAACTGAAAAATTGTTGAATCTATTAATAAAGTTTATTCTGATAGATTGCAATTGGAGGAGTGAAAACTCGCGATGATCTTCTCTTTTTCTTTTAAGAAAATATCGATCTAAAAGCTGATAGAAATTTACAGACGAAAAGTGGCTCTCCAAATTTGGAACATCCTATATAGTTGGGTTTATGTTCCGATAACTGACGGTGACGTGAGTGATATGGTGAACCAAAAGGAATTTGGAAAATGTAAAATTGAAGATTAATGAAAATCACTTTATTAAACGAATAAAAAGAAATTAGCGACTCACACTAAAAATATCTTCGTTTTGTGCTAATAATTTACTTGTATTAAATTAAAAATTAAGAATCTCACATTATAAAGAATATTATTATTATGACATATATATTTTTATTAAATGATATATTCTTTTTAAGAATTATAAATGTTTTTTTTTATAAAAACATCTTTTAATTGATCTATCTTCAATTTTGATTTGGATTATTTCGCTATTGCATGTGATAATTATTATGATAATGATTATTCACTTGAAAGTATAAAGAACAGAACAACGTGTTTATTTTAGTATTTAAAACGGTATGATAAAATCTGGATAAGAAATATATTAAACCGACTGAAAAAGATTTAATTAAGATTAATTACGTACTTCTTACCGCGTTTTTCTCATTTGCCCTAATTGTTAATCAAAAAAGATTTGTTTTCATTTGTTTTTCTACTTCTTGTGTGACAAAGAAAGAAGAACGATTAAATTATTCGGCGACTCATCAAGATTAATGGAGAGGATTGAAATAATTCTCCAATGTTCTCTATAATTGTCGCATTTGTCGATTTTCCGTTATTTTCTAACTCATTGACGTTAAATTATTATTTTCAGGCCGGGCGTGGAGTTCGCGATCGGTGCCCTGGCGGCGGTAGGCGCCGGCTTCTTCACGAATCCCGTGGACGTGGTGAAGGTGCGATTGCAGTTGCAGGGTGAATTGGAGGCGCGTGGCTCGTACACGAGGATATACAAGAACACCTTGCACGCCGCATATCTCATAGCCAAACACGAGGGCGCGTTGGCCCTGCAGGCGGGACTCGTGCCCGCGCTCGCCTTTCAGGTCGTCCTCAACGGCATCCGCCTGGGCGCATACAAGTCCGCCCAGAGATACGAACTCATCGTCGACAAGCAGGGCAATACCGATGTTCTGCGAACCGCCCTGGTGTCCGGCACAGCCGGCTGTGTCGGCGCCGTCCTCGGCAGTCCGTTATATCTGGTAATTAACTTGACCGTCCTTGAGATTGTTCTCCAAGTCCGTCTAGGTCTAGATACTATAATACACTATATACACTTCGAATTGATTTTCTTATCTTCATGCAAGATTTACCTCTACCTCTACCTAGCACAAGAGTGACGGCTCTTTGATTTTATTTGAAAAAAATTCGAAGGATTATTTTATGTCAAATCGTTTGAGGATCACGTGAAGTTTTACCTTGAATAAAATTGATATTAATCGAGTACAAGAGTATGTAAAAGAAATTAAAATGAGTATGGTTTTTCGTACCAAATGAATATCTCGGATAATAAATACCTTTGGCCAAAAGTCGATTTAATAAAGATACAGGATATAAATATCTTTGCGTAGAAATGTAGATAATAAGAATTTCGGCGCTACACTTCTCATACGGATTACAGCTAATATTAATTGGACGATTATCCTAGGTCAAGACGCAGTTACAGGCGCAATCCGCGAAATCCATCGCCGTGGGCTACCAGCACAATCATTCGGGATCGTGGGACGCGTTCAAGTCCCTGTGGATGGAGGGCGGCATCGCGGCGCTTTATCGAGGATGGAACGCCAACATGCCGCGCGTGTTCGTCGGCTCGGCGACACAGCTGACCACCTTCGGATTAGCGTCGGACTGGCTACGCTCGCTAAATGTAAATAGATACCGATCTTTACACTCGCTTCTGGATACCTTCCTTCTCGCACTGAAGTCTCGAATTTCCTTCGCTCGCTCACGCGGACGGAAGTTCTCTGGCAAGTCGCCAGAGGAACGGAATGCCGATGTGTCGCGACTTTCAAAAAATATTTCGACTATCTGAATTTCAAGGATCGAAAGATAAACTTCAGTACGAGATTCGAGGATCACTTATCGTTACGATGCGACGGAGCGTTCTTGATTTTTCTCAGATATTTCCAGATCGTCCGATACTGCTGACCTTCTTGGCCTCCGCGATTGGAGGTAGTTGTGTAGCCGTCACCATGCAGCCGTTCGACGTCCTGGCAACGCGGTTGTACAATCAACGTGAGTATACCATGCGTTGGGAACTCGCTTACGTTAAACATACAATTCACTGAAGGCCACGGTTGTGTCGCTTAATTTATAACGGTGTACATTTGCACAAATCGACATTCCGTATAAACGAATTTGCTTGTCGAATCGCGGATTTCGAGGAACAAGAAATACCCATCCTTTTTCGGTAATAAAATACTTCTTCCCATCGCATTCGCTCGACTCGGGATGCATGTCGCGATAACGTATTGACTCGGTATACGAGACTATAAATACAATGCGATGTGTATGCGTGACTATAAATACGATTCTAGTGCGCGCGGCTATAAATACGGCTTGCAAAGAATTCACGAGAAATTTCTCAAGCGTGACGTAAAATACTCAATTAGAGAGAATATTCAAAAGTTGAGGAACTTCCAGATTTTTAATAGAGTTGTAAATTTCCTAAAGCAAGCACGTATTACGCATACGTTGTTCTCTTCGAAGATCACCAGCTTATAATGAACGTGTCTTAAACATATGCAAACGCAGAGACGGACGCGGCCGGAAAGGGTACCCTGTACAAAGGACTCGGAGACGCGCTCATCAAGATATTGCGTACTGAGGGTCTGACTGGCCTGTACAAAGGGACGTTCCCGACGTGGATGAGGATAGCGCCACATACGGTCCTATGCCTGGTGTTTTACGAGCAGCTAGATCAATTGTATCGCAAGTTTAGAACTGATTGATGCTAGTTTTAAATTTATATAAATTATGTATTTACTCTAGGTATACGCACAGCGAAAATTTTGTAAGATTTTTCAAGAATGTTGAACATTAAAGATTGCAACTTTATTCGGAATAAATTGATGTTATGCATTGGCAGTGATCGCTCGATTGCGGATAGAAATTTTCAAGAATTATAGACGTATGATGTTTATATAAATGTAAAAATCTTAATCGCCGTATCTTATTCCATCGTTCTCGCACTTCTACGCCATTATTTGCAGCATTTTAGTATTACGGGATATGTACAAATAGTACAATATATAAAATTCGCCTGCACGGTGCATCTGGATCTCGTTCGAGTGAATCTCGCACTAGTCCTTTTTCAGCAGATCATTTGATGCGTGATCGAATGAATTAGTTACAACGCTGAATGAATTGTCACTCGCGTGACAAGTGTGGCAATGATTTGTCGATTCCGTTAAAAAAATCGTATAAAAATTACTTAATCGAATTAGATAAAGTTAGATTAAATAACTACGTAGCAAGTATCGCATTTGGTCTTGATTTAAAACCTTTAGTCATGGCCGCCGCTATAGCTGTAGTACTTCGACCTCGCGTTTCGGGTAAATAAATCCTGTGATACACAACAATAGTTTTCATATTTATCGCAAATAGAATATCGTACGGTGATTAATAATACACGTTTGTATTACGTACTGATTGATTTGCACCAAGATTAATGTACTTGCAGCGAAGATCAGGAAGACGTATGGACCAATTGCATCTTGTAACGAGGGAAACATCATCCCGACGAGGAAGTTTCCTCCCCAATTGAACACGCTGCCTAACGACATAGCGGCAGGTCTAGGACCAACATCGAATAGCTCGGAGCCAATGAAAAATGGTATTGGACCGAGACCGATACCGTAAAATACAACGTACGCTAGCACCATGATAATGCAAAGCCATGGCATAAACGAAGCCGTATGCTGTAAAAGGAGAAACTGCTTAGTCTTGAAAATCAATACTTACTTCATTGCTTCTAGAAAATTCATATTATTTACCCTTTAAAATCATATTATAAAATTAAATATTATTAAAATTAATCCATGTTCACTTACGATTAGTGCGATAGAGATGCACAGAATGATAAGGCACCCTACACATAAGTAACAGCTCAAGAATAGAACTTTTCTCCTGCTGAACAATGACATTATTGGCACGGAGACAAGTGCCATCACAATGTTTGCGACACCAGTGCCTAGAGTCGCGTATTGAGCGCCGGTGATGCCTAGGCCTGCTCCGAGAAATATCGTGTTCGAGTAATAAAAGACGGCGTTAATGCCACTGAGCTGCTGACCAAATTGCATGAGGCATACTAGAAAGAGAGGCAGTCTTACGGTCGGTTCTCTCAACACATGCTTAATATTCCACGTCTCACTCGTCGATCTCATTGCTAGTTCTTGTTGCAAGCTAGTGATTTCATTTTGCAAGAGCATTATATCCATGTTGCGTAAACGACTGAGTTCTAGAAGCAATTGAAAGATATAAAAGTAAGATAAAATATGTCTTTAAATAATTAAAACTTACATATTTAAATGTTATTCGAATGAAGTAGTTGTACGTACCTTTAAGAGCCTTTCCCTGTTCTCCTCGAGTTATATATAAATACTTTGGACTTTCCGGCAAAACGATGGTCAGTAATAATGCAGCGAGGCAAAGCGGTGAGAAAGATGCTAGCATGATGTGCCAGGATTCGGAAGTACCCAGAACAGTTTTGAGCCCAGCGATCTGGCCCATCAGAACGCCGCAGGTGATACCCAACTGACATAACACTCCGACAGCACCCCGTAATTTTAAAGGTGCTATTTCTGTCATGTACATTGGGAGCAAAGAAGTGGCTAGACCGCCGGAAAATCCTAGGAATATGTGTAATATTTAGAAATGTTACACATTACGGAGATTCAAAATAATAGATTGGATGAGCAAAAGTTCGTACTCGCTTTCAGCTACGATTACGCCTATCATTAAAATCGTATCCATTAATTAGACTGGCTTAAATCTTAACGATTCCTTGACTCACCAACGAACACTCGGCCGAGCAGGAAAAGTTCGACCGAGTTGACAGTTCGCACGAGCATGAATAGAACCGCTCCTGCAATCCCGCAGAGGTTGCCGGCGCTTAACGCGCCTTTACGTCCAAATTTGTCGCTCAGCCAGCTGGCGATCAAAGATCCAGACACACCTCCGATAAGAAAGATCGACACTACGGTGGACCAGAGTATGTTGAGTTCATGGCTGGACAATTGTACGTTATATCTTTCCCTGATACTGTCATTGCAGAATGATTGCATAAGCTGCAAGTCGAATATAGTTGACAGTATAATTTTAGATAACACTGTACTCGACGGAATCGCTTATTGATCTATTACGAACATGAGCAGGATTGTTCATGACACCTATGTTATATCCTGCTGGTAATGCTGATCCCAGGCAGCAAGTCGCACCGCCCAGTACCAGCAACGGGGTCCATCCACCGGGGTCGGCATCGTGTGCATTGCACTCCTATAAAAGAAATTGCACAGATCGATAATTATGTCGCATCACGGAGGAAGTTTCTCTTATTCTTCACTTCTTTTAAGTGAAAGGTGAACGGTTTATTACGCATAATAAACATTTATTCTGCGTAACATAAATAATAACTCAGAAATTTTCGTTCTGTTAATTAAAAGACGAATAGTATAACTTAAACAAAACAAGGCTACTAATTATTTTCGAGCTTTATTAGTTTTTATTTAGCAGTATAGTTATGTAACAAAATGCGTTCAATGAGCAAATACGAATTGTATTAACGTAATTTGTAGATAAACATTACTTGCAGCATCCGTAGGCACAAGTCTTATTATTATGACGATGTATGAAGATGAATTCTGATAATTTCATATCATGACCCAATTATACAATAGAATCTTTAGATATCATCCGCTTTGCACAACAATTAATAATCAAAAATTGTTTTAACATATTGCAACATTAAAATTACAATTACTGAATTGTGTCGATATAGTCAATCTTAATGAATCTCTAACTTTATATTTTAACTATTCTCTTTCTTCATTGATCTTATTGAAGAAGAAAAAAAAGAAAAAAATTTAATTTCCGATTTTTATATAGCGAACATGTTGATATCTTTTAAACAGCGAGCTTCACCAATCTACTTAAAAAAAAAAAAAATGTACGATATCAGTAAAATCAGAAGACCATACCGCTCACATAATTAAGCATCGTAAGCAATATGAAGTGTGTTGCACCCTCGTAGACCAATCAGTGATAACATGGAAAAGCCAGGACGGAATGATGGAACAAAACTCAACAAAACCACACACCATGGGCATACCTGTAAACTGTTCAGATAGCCAACCATGCATTATTATGAATTTTCATAGAACACGAATATACCCTCGGACCGTTTGTCTCAAGGGCATACGCAGCTCATACACGCACAACACGCACTCACACTGGCATGTCCTTCTGTCACAAATCATGGGCTACGATATCTGCTGTGTACATATCAATATATACGCATTCTGACTCTAATGATAATTCTATAAATATATATAAGCAGATATATTACTTCGGTTCTCCGGATATTATATAAAAAAACATGCATCAATGAAAATAATCATGAGCGTTACATTAGCAAAGCGATCATTTATTGGCGGTACTTTAATATTTTAATCTCAGCACTTGACTGGAAACTTCACTTATCACTTATATTGAATACTCTACTTTATCTATCATTCTGTTCTATGTTATTACAGAGAAATACACAGAGAACATATCTCAATCATTTAGTAAGCTCATAGATAACGGCAAACGCAACTTCGCTATTAAATCAATTAAATGTTTTTTAGATTTTTTTTTCTTTTTTTTTCTTTTTAATAGGCAAAATAGTAAAGAAATTTATAATTAAGAAAAATATTAATATTAAGAAAAATATTCTATTCTGTATACTCGAGTATATTAAAATATATAATTTATAATATTATATAAAGGTACTTAATTGAAAAAAAAAAAATCAAATCACCAAGATTATAATATTAAATAAAGAAATTAGTGAAAAATATCCATAGAAAAACCAGCGAGTCATATTACCTTTAATGACAGTACATTGCGGATAATTAAAACAAAAAAAAGAGAGGTAAATAAATCACTTCAGAAAGAAATAAAAATGGCAGTGATAATGGAGTGATAATTGAGATATGCGTCGCCTTGATTGATGTAACACAATCAGGACTGAATGGAATAATCGTCGAATCAGTCAAATGGAGTATGTAAGTCATATATATATATATATATATATATCTTTTTCTCTTGATCTGATAATACTGCTGCACTCGTCCATAATAACTTGATTTTGTAATTTGTTACGAATATGATGTAAAGAGAAAAAAATTGTACAGTATGAATTGCTTCGTCGCCGACGAGCGTTCGGCGCAAAAATTTTTGTAAAACATACTTTCTTTTCGCAGGCATGAAACGTCTAATAGACGCTCGTTGCATATGCAGGAATTTATTGCATGTAATCTGATAACAATGTTTTCTACGCAAACCAAAACCTGTATCACTCGCAAACGATATACAGGCAATGGTATAACTATCGCATTAATTTGATAAAAATAAGAGTAATATTAATCCTTTGCAGTCGTTTCGCGGTAGTGACTCATAAAATATTCAAATCAGCGCACTATTACAATTAACAAACTATATTTTTTTTTAATTCTAATCGATTTTTTTCAGATAGTAAGAATTCTTTGATTGGACTTGTTAATCAAATCAACATCGAGGACTTGTTCCTCGTTGAGAAAATTCGTACTGCAAAGGATCAAGGAATATTAACAATAATAACAGAAGAAATAAGTCTTCGAGCTAAGAAAGTAAGAGCTAAGAAAATAAATCTGCACCACAGTACAGAGAGAGATCAAGTACAAAAGACGAAGGTTGTGATAAGGAGAGTGAGAGCGGTGAGACTTACGGACTTCCGTGGTTCTCCAGCCAACGATTTCACCTTTGACACATCGATGCACAGCGCGGACACGTCGGTCTCTGCAAGTATAAGGGGAGAGGATATGTCTATTATTCGGAGAATGGGAAGGGTATAACGAACGTATTATCTTGGGATGTTTAAAATCGACAACGACTGCATTCTGCAAAGATCGATCGGAGGACACAACGGGCGGGAGGGTGGGACGCTGCGACATTGCATCCCCTGATTTTCGCTTTCAATTTTCCTCCCTCTTTTCTTTCACCGAAGATGTGTTCGCCGAATATATCTCGAAGGCGATTTTAATAAATGCGATTAGGGAATAGAGGTCGGTCCTTACCTATCGTCATGCCACGCGGCACGTGTCGGCGAACACACCACCGGTGATGACCGCAACGGCCAGGGACGTTTGCTCGTCGCAGCGTACGTCAGATTATGTTAGGTTAGGGATGGCGCGTTACCAACCACCAACCCCTTGATTCGTTAGAAACAGTCAATAGTGTCTCTATTTTATATTCGCTCAGATAAAATTTGAAATTTTATTCCGACTTATAAAGTAGTGATATAATAATTGTGCCAAGATTTGTTTAAGGTGATTTTAAATGTAAAATCAAATTCTACGAGGGTAGTTTCGTATCGTGCGATAAAATTCTGATTAACTTAATTGACGATTAATTTAGCTGACGGAATTGTTTAAAGCGAAGTAATCTTGACTGGCTTTATTTATAGGCAGATACTATATTTAAGATCATCTTAAAGATCGCATTCCAGTCAATAAAATGATGATAAGCTTATTTAAAATAATTTTAAATATAAGAATCGATTATGAATCTATCCGATCTAATTTTTCTCTACGCCGTGTATTTTCTGCACTTGAAATAAAATGAATATAATGATTGGACGAAGAGAAAGAGAAAAAGAATGAAAAAAATATGAAGAGTTCTACATTCAGATAATCAAAGATAATCAAGCCGCATCAAGTTTGTAGAAAATTTGAAGATTTTCATACTCGCGATGAGATTATCTGCACACGCAAGTACCGAATTTTATAAACAGATATATATATATATATATATATATAGAGTATCTACCGCCGATATATACATACGTATCTTTAAACACAAGCACGTGTTTCCTCCGTTCAGGCTTCTTTCTCACGTTTCACCAATCCTCGAGCGAGAAATGATTACGCGATGCACGCGAGGTCAAATGATATAGAGAGTGTCCGAAATTGAAATTTCTCTGTCGTATCTCGATTTTGTTTTCTTTTAAATTGTTTTGTTTTTCTCGCGCTTTTCAAGACGCAGAAAAATTTGTAAAAAAAGAAAAAAGGCGCGGAAAAATTTAAAAAATAAAAAATATCTAAAATTAAATTTCAGATTAGAATCAAATTTACGCTTCGATTGAAATAAAATCGAAGAGTAATTCGAGAATTAATTTATTTGGTAAAAATCTAAATTTTTGCTAGAAAAATTATTCTTTCAATATTTCTGAATATTTTAAATATTTTCTAACAATTCTCGTATGAATTTACTTTTTTCGGTAGCATTTTTTACATTCTCTTTTCTCTTATCTTATGGTCTTTTTTATTCCTTTTTCAAATTCTAATCACGCAATCAGTATAAGCGCAAAGAGCGCGGTTGAATTGATTTTTCCAAGATTAATTTTGTAACACCCTGTATACTGCAGTCTTACGAATACGCAACGTATACCGTCGCGCGTTACAACAAGGTGACTTGCGAGTTTACAGAATTCCTATCGAATAATAATTAACGCTCAGTTGTGAGTAAACGCAACGTTACGAAACGTGTCGAAGTTACATGTATCAGTTACGTTCTCCTTGAGTGCATCTTATATCTATTTCTACTAATATAAATTAACCTTAATTTTGATAAATTTTAATTTACTGTTTTTAATTTTTATAACTGAAAAAATGAAAAGTATATTAGATCGAGATTAAATTATTAATTTATATTGGTAGAAATGGGTATTACTTATAAAAAGTATCTTCGCTTCTTCTTCTATGTTTCGAGACTACGTAGACCTATTCCGTTGCAGAGATAAAAAAAAAAGAGTTTATTTATAGACGCAGGAGCCCAAGTCAAACTGGTCCGTGATCGAAAGTGAACCAGTTCCCGTGCAGGCCAAAACATATCCAAAATATCCAACTTATCTCATTTATTCTTTCTTGTTCAATAAATTTCTAACCAGCTCCGCGTGATTTCATTTCAATTTCTGGCGAACTGTTCCGGCCTTAGCTTCAGTTTTCGTCTCTCTCTTACAATTTAACTTCTTTTTACATCTCTCTCTCTCTTTTTTTTACTTGTAAAACAAGTCTCGCGGAATGCGACCACTCGGACAATTGCGAGAAGGCAAAACGGTATTTTATGACTAACGTAGCGGAATGCGCTCTGTTTGTCGGGCTGCCTGATTTCACGGGCCGTGTCGTACGGAAATACTAGAGAGCCGAACATGTGGAGTCACGTGCGCTCGCACTCGGCTTTTTCACATCGGAAATTCGTGAAGCGAAAATAGAGCGTGCCGTCGAGGTGCGCGTACACGTGGCGCACAAACACGCGAATGCGACGCGCGCGCACGAACGCGGCCGTGAGTTCGCCGATTGCGTCTCATTGATACCGGACGTGCGACACGCTTAGGAACTAAAGAATAAAACATATGTCACGTCGAACTCTAAACGGGCCAATGACCCGTAAAAATTCCGTAACGGAATGTCTCATCGAAGACGCGTCACCGAAACGCGCGTGCTTATCGCTCACAACTGATAACGTTATTTTTAATCGAATTTATATGCGTCTTTTTTCTCCCTTTTGTACTATCTGTCATCAGCGTCGGAGTCGATTCCTGCATCGTGACTAATCATCATTCAGATTCTGATCGTCGATGTGTGTCAGTTGTCGTCGACGCTGAGTCTCGCCGCGCGGCGACATTTCGACTTTAAGTGAAACCCGAACGGAGTCCGTTTCAGTACAAGAGGGAATTTTATAATATAAAAATACGAGATTCGTTAATATTAAATAAATCTCTCGACGCGATTCCGGATTCGCAGAGGGAGGACACAGGGTTTCCGAAGGATTTTCCGATAGATTTTCCGCGGGATTTTCCGCGTGATTTCGATATAATTTTCTCGCTTCGTCGTACCGTCGACTTTTCGCTCTCGATCCTCGGGACGTACCTTGATTTTCGTCCATTGTGCCTTTTATTGTCCGGCGCGCGGGCAAGATTCGCTTCAGCCGCCGGCGCTCGAAGTGGTTCTCGAGTGGATCGCGATATCAACCGACGCCGACGTGGACTGCGGTCCGACTAACCAGTCACCGCGATTCTTCCCGCGCCTTTCCAACGCCGCTACCGATCTTGTCACGGTCTGTACACGGCGTGTACTGGCCGACGATAGCGATGTACCGCCAATTCTTGCGGCCTTGTGTCATTTGGGCAACGCTCGGATCTAAATAGACGCGCGCGTGTAACAAAGAAGGGGTATACTGCCGAGGAAACGCTTTAATTTGAGATCGACTTTAATTAATTATACATATATAAGAAATGTCGACTAGTCTTTTAAAAAAAAAGGATCACCGAGGGAGATAAGGTTCTCCACTATTGTTCGCCATTGAAGATCTGAAATTAGCCAAAGACTCTCCAGAGGCACTCTCGGAAGGTGAAACATTTTGTATCTGATAAAAATTATCGCTAAGTAATTAAGATTATTATTACGCGAAACGGGATGTGGTAGTAAGTTTGTGTTTTACAGTGACAGTGAAGAATTCAAGTTGCGTCGCAATAATGGACAGGAAGCGACGAATGAATTCGTTTATTATGTCAGACGATTCACGAATGCGTTAAAATTATAAGTGAAATTTGATGCAATATTCACAGACTCTGTGAACACGCGGCACGCCTTCATAATTAATCGCGTGTGGTGGTCTGTTTTCGCAGGTAATTAGAGATAATTGTCCGCACGCACAATAGAAAATTTACCTGAACACAAAACATAGACAGCGATTAATTGAAATCGATGCGATAGAACTCGAGATAATGATATGTTTAGAGAAATCATTTAGTCGTCGTTATTTTCTTTTTTTTTTTTTTCTAGATCAAGGATATCTTCCGCGCGTTTCTGAACGCGATCTGAGATTAAGATGTGTGAAAAGCGGCTTTCATCGGCCGCGCATTTATCATATCATTTACGCAACGATTGATCTATCTGCCGAGGTTTTGCGGATGACGTTCGTCGCATAAAAAGAGTCAATTGTACGGAAATACGGTATTATAATCATATGGAAATCAGCGCGACTACTTTGCGATTTCCTTTGACATCATTGATATCGTTCGATATGATGCATATTAAAATTTTTTCACGATAAGCGAATCATAATTCGATTCATTATACAATTCTTCGGTTTTAAATTCGATTGCAAAATTACTCCTTTTAAATTTGATCTTTTTTTTACAATTTAATCTTTTTTAATTCGATAATCGATTTCGACAATCGATCATCGATTATTTCAATTTGCTTGGAATAACTACTCCATTTCACTCCTTGTTTTTTTATCATTTATCTTAGCGAGCATTATTTATGAGTATTATGGACACCAGTCTGACCAGTATTCAGTCGTACTCTGTCTTACTCGATATATTATATATTCAGATATAATTGTCGTGAGTGTGTGGCAGTGCGTTTATGTAAATGGTAGTCACATATAATTTATTATTTTTATTGATCTTCATTATTCCGGAGGGAAACATGATCAGTCGTATTCTTGACAAATGCAATGTTCGTGGCAGGACGCGATTACAATCTTAATTATAAGATACTTATGCTAGAAACCGAGGGTTTTAATCTTCGCAGATGACGTGAAACCATGACCGCGCAATATGTTGGAAAGAGATGAGCATGAGCATTTCGCTTCCGTACGACCCTTCTCTCTCTCTCTTCCTCCTCTCATCACCTCCTCTCATCCTTCACAATGCTCGCATTCACGTCATCCGGAAGAAGAATGTCGCAATGCGCGTTATTGCGGCACACGCACGCCTTATAACGCATTAACGTAAATTCGTAATATCTTATCTACCGCGTGAATTTTTATCCGATTTAAATATCGCGCGATGAGTGTCTTGCATAATCGCCCGAAAATTTCCATGTTAATCCAGCAAGCTGCTAAAATGATTCGTCATTTTAGCGATAGGAAATGGGACGACATTAGGGTGGAGTTTATACGTCGGCGTGTCGCGATAATGAAATCTTCGCACTGAGATGGCACTCGAGCTGACTCCGTCGAGATATTCTATTTTTTTCAAAAAAAAAAAGTAGTCTGCTGTAAATGATATAATACGATCTTTTTGTTCGCATTGAGCAACTTGCGCAATTTAATATATTTAATATTAACCCTTTATTCGGCAGAAGACATATTCATCAAACGCACAATGTGAGAAAACAGCTGACGCTTGTATGCCGCTGTTTGAACTGAGAAAAGAATTGCAATATTTATATCATGACAATAAATGTTGATAAGAATTCAATTGCGAATAATGTGGAATAGATAAAAAAGAGGCGACGTTGCCGAATAAAGGGTCGAATTCACGAGCGATAAAAGAGGTGTCCCTTCGAGACACGCATATACCGCCCTTTCACGCGTTATCGCGAGATGATAATTCAAGTGCAGTCCATTGCGTCCATTCCGAATCCTCTTCCGAGTCCGCGATTTAGAGCCGTCAACAACGGATACTTTCCGCAGCCGCACAAGTCCTTGGAATCGTCCAGATCGACGGACCAGATCATTCCGCCGCCGAGATTCAGCTCCTTTATCAGCTTGGCCTGAGGACGAGACGAACGATTTAATAACGAGATAACTCAGCTAATGATCGAATAAATAAGCAAACGGGTTATCAGAAGATCACTTCAAGATCGCATTAAATTCTTACTTGGTAACCGTCAGCACGCCAGCTTGTGCACTTAATGAATCATTCGTTTGTACGAGCCGTTTGTAAAATACACACGTGGTGCATCGTTTACAGAGTGATTCAAAGAGTGATACAGAATAATTCAAAACAACGTCTTGTCCTTCACGTATTCCTGGTCGGATTTTAATACGACTTTTCTTTTGGCCAAACTTTATTTAAAGCTTAGCTTGAATTATTACAGAGAAAAATAAATATAATAAGTACTAAACATTATGCTATTCTATAAAATAATATATTTTATTAAGTTATCTATTTTTTATGTAAATAAAATTAAAACTAAGCTTCAAATGAAGTTCTGCCAAGAGAAAATTTGTCTCAGGATTTGGTCAAGAATTTGTTTTGTAAGGGATTGTTTTGAATCATTTTATATATGCACAATGAATACGAGCGATACATGATCCTCATCATACACACCTTTCTCGCTACATTGGACACATCGTCGTAGCTGACCCATTGATCGCGTTTTGACGCATATGGTCCCACACGACCCTTCTGATCCTTCGTCACGAACCAGCCGTCGTTCCTCACGTTGTCGCATATCTGCAATATCATAAAGAGTAAAATATTTAATAACATCCTGATATCATTTATTGGCAGTATCGATTCTTACCTCGTAATAAGCTAGGAAACCGGCCGATTTTGTGAACCTGCCAGGCTCTCCAGGTCCAGAGACATTCGCATGGAAGCCCGGCACTTGGTGGTGTGACTTCTCGGACAGGGTGAAACTCGATCCGTAAGTGGGTATACCCAGAACGATCATCTCGGCTGGCACACCCTTGCGGATCCAGTACGTCACGGAGAAGTTCGCGTTCAGGACGGGCTCCGATCGCTAGGATGACGATAGAGCGGCGCGACGTGGCCGGTTTCGCTTCCCCAACCGTTGTGGTAGTCGTACGCCATCACGTTGATCCAATCCACGTATCGTATTAAACGTTGGATCTGAGTGTAACCTCGATCGACGACGATCTTGTTCGCCGAGACCGCGATGGACAATAAAAGTCCTCTAGACGTGAACGCTTCGTTGAGATCTTGAAGCAATCCGATGAAGAATTCACCGTCCCGCTGAGGACCGCGGCTACAGTCGCCCTGCGTTTTTTTTTTTTTTTAAATGTTTGTCATAAAATCAAGCAAGACATTTGGCTTTTAATCAATTTCATATTACGTTTAACGTATTATATTTAGACTCTATTGATATTTCCAACTAAATTTTACTAGAGATAAGAATATTCGATGTTAAAATATCTTTCCTATTAAATCTTCTTTTTTGTATCAAAAATTAAAATATATCCTTTAAATTCTAAATGTATTTAATATCTTATATTAAAAGAATTATTATAATTATATTTAAAAAAAATGAAAACACATCTCGGTTTACCTGCCAGCATACCGGAAACTCCCAATCAAGGTCAAGACCATCGAATCCGTATCCCTCGACGACTTCAATTACATGTCTGACAAATTTGTTTTTAATCGACTGCAAACTACCGGCCAATCTGCTGTACTTGTCGTCCTTCGAGTCATTCCATCCACCTAGACCGAGCAATATCTTAACGTCGTTTCTTCTTTTAACATCCATCGCTTTGTGCAGAAAACTCCTGAACATGTCGGCGGAATCGTCGATATTTAACGTAAATGTCTCCGCCTCCAGCGTGGCGAAAGCGTAGACAATGTGCGTGCAGAGTTGTCCGTTGATGTCCTCGGGCAAGAATTTGCCGAAGCCCTCTCGTCTCCAAGCCCAATTTGTGTAGTAACAAATCACTTTCTTTTCCCTTACATTCTCGGCGATTCTGAATTTCGGCGATATCTGTAAAATCGACAAAATAATAATTAATAGAATTATCGGTTTTGTGTTAAAATACCTATGCGATACGTACTTGACGTTGAGCGGCCTTGCACCTGGTGTTCTCCGGCCAGTCGCATCGGTCTTCGTTCCAGTAGAGTCCGGGTGGACAGGACTGTTCCGAGATCTTGCCGAAGTTGCACAGATAATACTTGGTGCAATCATCTTTGTGCGGTATGAACAATTGTCCGGCGCAGTCTGCCGGAGGTGGCGGACTGGCTTCGATCTCGACAGTGTCATCGATATCCGATTCAGTTGCCATTGTTGTGGTTATTGGTGGGAGATAGACTGGTCTTGATGATGTGGTGGATTCGTATATTGGATCGATTTCAGTTGTCGTAACAGTTGTGGATTCAATGCCGATTTGACTGACGTCAGTCATGATCGTTTCTGTACATTTTAATCATAACGATATTCAAATGTAAAGGGAAAAAAATCATATATTAAAAAATATTAAAATTAATATTTATATTTTTTAGATACAATGAGATGTTAACAGATCTACCTCCCGTAACAGGACACAGTGGGCCCTTCGGGTAGTTCCTCAAAACTCGATTCATCGTTCTCAAGAGTGGACTGGGCTCGCAGCCGCATCTATTTTTGAAATCGTCCAGATCCAAGGCCCAAACCATTCCGCCGCCGAGGCCGAGTTTCTTAATCAATTCTGCCTTCAGCTTGACTTGTTGAGCGTCGTCGAAGCCTACCCATTGATCACCTTTGTAAGCATATGGGCCGATTCTTCTTTCTTTGTCTTGAACAACTGTCCATCCTTTTTTCAGTGTTCTTTCACATATCTATTATTGAGCAAAAGAGTAGATATTTATTTTCAGAATAAGTATCTTTTAGAGGATAAAATAATGATTTTTTTTACATATATACTTTTACTCTTTTTATACTTTTTTTTTATGAAAACAGACCTCGTAATATGCTAAAAAGCCTCTTGCCCTAGTCGCTTCTCCAGCTTCGCCACCGCCATAAGTTGGAGCGTTTAAGTCATGCATATTCCTTTCCGCAAGTGAAAACGATTGACCGTACAATGGAACACCCATAACTAACTTCTTCGGATTTGCACCTTTCTCTATCCAATAATGAATCGAAAAGTTCTGATGGCAGAGAAGCAAATGTTTGTAAAACTTCTGAAACTATAAGTATTTATGGTAAATAATGTTCAAAAAGTAAAGCTTACGGCATTGAACGTCGGTTCCCAGTCGTTCAGAAGAGGATACAACGGTGCCACGTGACCAGTCTTCTTGTCCCATTGACCATGAAAATCATACGTCATCACTGATATCCAGTCCAGGTTCTTGGATAAAACGGGAACGTTGTATCCAGCGTCGATCACTCTCTTACTCGGCGAGACAGCCGCGGAGAGAAGCAAACCTCGCGGCTTGAACTCGTCACTTAATTCCTTCACCAATTCAGCAAAGCTTTCCTTGTCGGATTCCGGACCTTTGTTGCAATCCACTTGCCAGCATACCGGGTACTCCCAATCGAGATCAAGGCCCTCAAATCCATACTTCTCGATGAAGGAAAGAACTTGCGCAATGAATTTTTGTCTAGCCGACGGCGAGTTCACCAGTCTGCTGTACTTGCCGCCAGCCGAGTCGTTCCAACCACCAAGCGCCATCAGCACCTTCAGACCCTTCGCCTTGAATGCCGCCACTCTCTCGTAAAACTTATTGTCTATATCGGCCCAAGGATCGTGGGACTTCATCGTTAAGCTACTGCCATCCAGCACTGCGAATCCGTAAAGCACGTGGGTGCAGAGATCTGGATCTATATCCTCCGGGACAAATCTGCCACCCTCTTGTCGATACCAGGCCCAATTAGTGAAATAGCAGATGACCTTGAATTCACTCTTGGAACCGTCTTGCGTAACGCGATCCGCCACCGTGGTCGGCCGTGTCGCCTGCGTGGGCTTGATGACAGTCGACGTCGTCATCGGTAACGGTGGCGGCTTCCACTCTATGGGCCTGTCGTGCTCATTGAGCGGTTCCGCCAGCATCCGCTGGATCGCGTGCAACAACGGATGAGGACCGTCATCGCATCGTCCACGGAAATCGTCCAGATCCAGAGCCCATATCATGCCGCCACCCAGCCCCATGTCGCGCACGAATTGCGCCTTCCGCCTAATCATCTCCGTGTCGTCAAAGCTGACCCATTGACTGCCTTTATAGGCGTATGGACCCATTCTGCGCTCCGAATCTTGCACCACCGTCCAACCGCGATTACGCACTCGATCACAGATCTCATAGTAAGACAGGAAACCGGCAGCTCTGGTGAACTCCCCGGCGTTCCCGGCGCTAGCTGGCGAATTCAGACCGGTCCCAGCGCTTGGGTCGTTGATGGTGAAGGATTGCCCGTACAACGGCATGCCCATAACGATGCTTCTGGGTGGCGCGCCCTTCGAGATCCAATAGTTGATCGAATAATTAGCATTGAAGTAATAGAATTCGTCGTCCGGGTGATAATATAAAGGCGCAACGTGACCAGTTCGCTTGTCCCATTGTCCGTGATAGTCATATGTCATGATGGCAATCCAATCTAGATATCTGGCCATCGCTGGCACATCGTAGCCCTTGTCGATCACCTTCTTGCTCGGAGATACCGCTGCAGAGAGGAGTAATCCTTTCGGTTTGAACCTGGCGCTTAATTCCTGTAATAAGGCTGCAAAGCTGTCTTTATCGGAGTCCGGACCTTTGTTGCAATTCACCTAGTGTCAAAATATGAAAAGAGTTAGTTAACAATGGAAAAAGTTGTAAACAATTTGCAGATTATATATGGAAAATATTTTAAAAAATCTTTACCATACCAGCATCTAAATTTCGTTTTTAAATTTTAAATATTATCCAAAATGAATCTAAAAAGATATAATAAAAAAAAAGAATATAACACACATGCCAAGATAAGAAAATGAGCAAAAATTCGGATGCTATTGTCTTAATATCATGAAATAAAAGAAAAAATGAGCTCACCTGCCAGCAAACGGGATATTCCCAATCCAAGTCCAATCCATCAAAGCCGTACTTCTCGACAAACTGAATGGCGTGATCAATGAACTTTTTCCTGGCGGTCGGACTGTTCACCAATCGACTGTACTTATCGCCGGCCGAATCGTTCCATCCACCCAGCGCGAGGAGCACCTTAAGGCCCCGCTTCTTATACGCCACTACTCGCTCGTAAAAACGATTGTCATAGTCCGCCCAGGAGTCGTGCGCCTTGATCACCAGTTCAGAATAATCCAGCACCGCGAAACCGTATACGATATGCGTGCACAGAGTGTGATCGATGTGCTCCGGCAGGTAACGACCAATCCCGCGACGGTACCAGGCCCAGTTGGTGAAATAGCACACAATCTTATAGTAACCGGATAACGGAGATACCTTGTCGGGGTCTATGATCGCTGGAGGCAAGGTCGAGGTAGGTAGCTGATTTGTGGTCGATGTAACCGTTACCCCTTCCGTGCTAAATGTCGGTTGGGTGATCGGCTTCTGCGGAAATGCGGAAACTGATGGCCGAGAGGATGCCGTTGTCGTTGCCGGCTGCGTGGTGCTTTCCCTGTCGCTATCGTCGTCCATGCACTTCGCACGGGACGGCCAATCACAAATACGGGTCTCCCTGTTGAAGTGCAAGCCCGGCGCGCAGCTGAATATTTCCTGGCGACCCCAAAGGCACGCCTGGTAGCTCTTACAATTACCCGGTACGCTGCTGTAGCTGCCGGAGACGCAGGTCTAAAATAATCGTGGTAATAATAGTCTGTCATTATCAGTGTCAATTATCAAACTGTCATGCAACAAACAGATAGGATGACGAATTGAACCGGATCTGACCAGACCAAGAATGTTTATATATGTTAATAAATGTATACATTAATATGAATGATCACTGGCGTCTAAATATTAGTGTTTATCTGTTTATATATTTTTTTATATTATATTATTACTTACAGTCGGGACGGTGTCTTTTTCTACGAGCAGAGCGTTTTTGTGCGGTTTATCGTCGCACGGATTCTTGAAGGCCCAGTCGCACATATTTTTCTCGATGTTCCAATTTAAGCCTGGACCGCACTGCTGCGAGACGAGGTCGCCGTTTACGCAAACCAGGAAGCTTGTACACGAATTTGGATAGGGATAATATTGTCCATGTTTGCATGGTTTTTGCGGCGTTTCCGTTAGTCCCGTGGTGGTGAATTTCGTGGTTGACATCGTCGTTGTTCTCGTCGTTGTTGTCGTCATTCTTGTCGTCGTCGTTGTTCTCGTTGATGTCGGCGTGGTCATTTTAACAGTCGTAATGGATGGTTTCGTTGAGCTCTCCGAAGGCCTGCCTGTCGTCGAACCTGAGGAGAAGATAAAAATTCGTAAAAAAAGAAAAAAGAAAAACTCGTGTTGTATTCCGCGATAAAAGCCGAGCTATTTAATATCGATTGAATCGGTACCTCGACGAGAAATTTCATACGCTCTCTGCACGCCGCAGTTTAAAAGGAGAAAAATTAATATAATTATATAAAGACGCTGAAACGAGAAAGCCATAATTTTCACAAAAGCAATGAGAGGGACAAACGAGGCACAAACAGACAGGTCGCCGAGGCTGCTTGTACCCTTGCACTGATACTAGCAATCTTCGCTCTGCGACGGACGGCGGCAAAGGGAGAGGATGCTGCAGAAAGAACGCTCCTTGGCCGGAGGCGACAGCTAATCGCAGAAGATATGTATACGCGACGGTATTTGCATACGCGCGACTCGCAAACAGGTTTGCGTCCACGTGCTCGCTTATCGAAATAATTTTTATGGATTATTAAAGGAGTCAATGTCATCGTGATGATAATTTTTCTCCTTAATGTCGACGGATTAATACCAATAACCCTGTGAAGATACGATTCGATATTTTATGACGATCGATCGTGGCATGCGAACTCATATCAAACCGACCAATCTACATGCCGATTATTACTCGTCGTTGCCTCGTTCAATCGTTTCGAGCTATTTAAATCGCGGATCATTTCCTTAACAGCAAAATGGAGAAAAAAGACGAAGAGAGAGAAAGAGAGAGAGAGAGAGACTGATCAAGAAATGACGTATTTGGTTGACGAGAATATAGGCAGTCTTACCAGTTGCTACTTGACACTTTGCCGCCGATGGCCAATCGCAAAGATATCGACTCGCGTCCCAATGCAATCCTGGCGCGCACTGTTCGCGCTTCAATTCGCCGCGGACACATCTGTAATAATTTCCGCAATTTACGGGATCGCTGTAATACTCGCCGCTTGTGCAGTTCATTCCCGGCGTGGCGGCGATCGGTTTCCGCGTCGTCGTAATCATCGGCGGTGCGCTGAAAGAAGAGCCAACAAGAACTTAAAATGACTATAAAAGTATCTTAATTCATGAGGTACATGAATGTTAAACATTTTGATCTATTTTGGACTCTCTTCAATAGCTTAACGACAAAAAGACTGAAAAAGATTCAGATAATTTTCTACAAAATATATATAAAGGTGAACAACTACAATCTTCTTCCTTCTTCCAAAAATTTTTTTTTTTTACCTCGATGTAGTGGTGCTGCTAGGTGTTGTACTCGGTTTTGGAGGCTTCACTGTACTTTCCGGGATTTTAGTGGTCTTCTGACTGGTCCAAGTCCACGTGGGCCACGTAGTCCTAGTCGTCTTCTGGGTCGTAGTGCTCGGTTTCTCTGTCCACGTAGGCCACGTGGTAGCTTTAGTGCTAGACGTCGTCATCGGCGTGGTGGGTCGCGGATTGCCATCATTTGCATCGCTGTGAGTAGTCAATGTCGGTGCTTGTGGTGTCACCGGTTGCGATGGACGTTGGCAGCCCTCCGAGACAGATGCCGACAAACGACCTGCCATTCAGAATAAATACGTCAAAATTATTTAGGACAACGTTAAATGTAGAAAAGTAACAGTATGTACCATCTTAAGAGAGTATAATAATACCTTACAATAATATAATATTAACAAAAGTAATAAACGAACCTAGCGCGCGATTTATAGTTTTCAACAGAGGATATGACTCCAAGCAACAGAGATTCTGAAAATCATCTAAATCAACGGTCCACATTGTAGCTCCGCCATACTGATTTCCCATTATGTATTTGCCCTTAGCGTAGACGCTCTCTCGATCTTCATAACCCACCCATTGATCTTCGAAATGAGCACTGGGTCCTGAAATTTTACAAACTCGTAGATTATAATGTATACTCTAATAATATTCAATATTTTAATAATATCATTATAAATAGAATATTTTCCGGTATAATATTGGAGATGTATGTAGTTACCTACCAACTCCAACCTTCCAATCGCGCCGTTTGATTCTTTCGCAAATCTCGTAATACGCTAACATTCCAGGCTGTTTAGTGAATTCTCCCGGTTTGCCGGGACCGGTCGTGGGATCACCCAGACTGGCTTGGCTCGCTGTCGAGAGTCGGTAAGATTGTCCATATAGAGGGATACCAACTAGGAGTTTAGATTTTTCAGCGCCCAGATCGACGAGGTAGTTCATAGTGAAGTTCTGAAAAAATATTTTCAAAAATGTTACATTTTATTACTTACAACTCACACGCAATTGCACAACTCAAACTTACGACGTTGTAATACGGATTGCTGTCGCCTGGTGACCCGAACAAGGGCGCTATGTGTGCCAATTTAGATTCCCACGCTCCATGATAATCATACGTCATGACCGACATGAAATCGACGGCTCGTGAAATTTCGCGCACCTCGTACGCCTTGTCGATGACCTCTTTGTATCCCGACAGGGCAACAGCCAGGAGAAGAGGCGATTCCTGCTTATTGAACTCCTCCCTCAGCTCTTGTATTAATTTAGTGAAGTTTGGCTTATCGGAATCTGGGCCCTTCTTGCAATCACTCTGCCAGCACTTGGGATAACTCCACTCGAGCGAGAGACCGTCAAAGTTGTGCTTTTTCAGGAAGTTCACCGTGGTGATGACGAATTTACGACGAGCGGCACCGCTGCTGATCAATCGAGAGTACTTGTCGCCGGAACTGTCGGTCCATCCTCCCAAAGCTAACAATATCCTTGCCCCTTCGATCGACGTTACTCGCTGATAAAGATCTAAAATAAATATTGTATTTTTTAAACAAAAAATTACAAATTACAAATTACAAATTTAATTTTAAGCAAAACCGAAAAGTGTTTTTACAACTTGCGAAATTGACTTTAACATGAAGTGGAGTTTTACAAATTGTAAATTTAATCCACTCTTGATTTGAATCCACCAAAATTGGAATGAGGTGAATTGGATTATTATACCCACTGTTTTCGACGTCGGCCCAAGGATCAAATGGCTGAACTAACAGCGTCTCGGGATTTAATCCGGCAAAGGCGTAGATGATGTCGGTACAAAGTTGCGAATCCAGATTTTCTGGCACAAATTTGCCGTCTCCTTTGCGGTACAATGCCCAGGATGTCATGTAACATACCACTCGCGGACCAGCTTGTCGCAACACTTTTTTCGGTGTTGTGGTTGAAGATATATCTTGACCGATGATTTTGTCGAAGACATTGAGTTTGCAGACTTTCGGAGATTTCATCAGCGTAGCGGCCACACAACGTCCTTGTATCGGATCAAAGAGCCGGCTATATCCGCAGTGACCATGATGCAACACTCCTAAAAAAAGCAACACGGGTAAATTCTACAATTTCCGAGTAACGTCGAAAAAAAATCAACTTTTGCCATTCTCGATTAATTTGATCGTAACCATTACCTTTGACGCAGGAATAAAACGCGGAACAATTTTCTGGATCCCTGGAGAGACCATCCTTCGAACATTTTTTCGTCAGAGCCTCGTAATGTCCTAAGGATCGTACGGCGGCGTTCAGCATCGGCCAAGGATTTCCGCAGATTCCCTATGGAATTTAAATCAACAACATTTATATATGTGAAATCACATGGATAAGCGGTACTAAATTGTGCCTGTCAACAAAACGATTCGTTCAATAAAAATAAATTAATTTTGTTAATTACTTGAAAATCATCAAGATCCAGCGACCACAACGAAACCCCACCGAGCCCCATCGCCCGGACAAATGCTATTTTAATTTTAACCGATATAGGATCATCATAACCGATCCACTGATCGCCACGTTTCACATACGATCCTTCCTCGTCCCTGCCAGAGAGCCACAAACCTCTTTCCAATTTCTCACACACCTACAAAGAACGATTGTCTCTTAATTGACTTACACGTCTATGAATTTTTTTCTATTAATATTTTATAATATTTCACCTCGTAATAAGCCAATTTTCCGTCTTTCCATTTAGTGTAAGCACCCTGTTTGCCAGGGTTCTGAATGGGCGCGCCAATATCGGTGAGATTATCGAATTTGAAGGTATATCCCTGGCCAAAAATAGGTATAGCAAGAACGATCCTCGATCGTTGCTCGGCGCCGATCTGTTCGATCCATTTGCTCACGTTTTGCACGAAACTCAAAGGGCCCGGATGAAGGGCGGATTGGTCCATTTTCTCGCAAAGAGAACAAGGCGGCCGGACATCTCGCCAGCTTTTCAAGATTATCAGATCGACGAGCGACGCGAGCTCCGAATCCAAAGGGTCTTCTGATTTCAACGCCACCGCGAGGGTGTATCCCTTTTTGACTAATGGAGCACTGATCATCTTCAACAGAATCTTAAATTGCGGCCAGTCTTGAACGGCGGTCGGCCAGTCGAGCTCGATACCGTCGAAGCGATACTCCTCCAGGAATTTGAGGATAGATTCTCGCAATGTGAAGTCAGAATTTGAGAAATTGGCTTTTTGTTGGATAATCAGGCTGTAATGCAAACTCGGCTGAATGGATATCAATACGCGCAGCGCTGGATCCTTCAACCGAAGTCTCGTAGCAGCATTGTAACCGCCTATGTAATAGGATAAATTTATATAATTAGTATTAATTATAATCTTAATTGTAATCTAATTTATTTTTTCAATATTTGACATCTCTATTTTATAATATTAAAATTTTCATTTTGTAACGTATAATAGTAACCTTTAATTCGATCATAATCTGGATCACTGGGAACAACAAAGTCTTTTCTATCTGTAAATAAAACAATAAAATTATAATAATTAAGATAACAAAAATAACCGTAAAATAATTTATTTACCGATAGTAGCTGCGGAATATATCAGATGAGTACACTTGTAATCAGGGATATTTTCCGGATACAAAGAGAACGGTTCTGTTCTATGAACGGCTCTAGAATCGAAGCGGCAGACAATCTTTGGTTCGAGAATCTGCTGCATTCTTCGCAAGGTCGGCGGTGCCACAGGCTCGATCCAAATCGCCTCGTGATCCGGATCGACAGCAAGAAAAGGCGCCTCACGATGCTCCACTGCATCTCTCAAGGGCAGTCTTACATTCCCGCTACATACATAAACAATTATATCATTATGTTTGAAATCTGGATATATTATATTATATTATATTAAATCTAAGTAGAATTATATATTAAATCGAGAGATTGAGAAAGCCGGTGAAGGAATATTTGCATTAAGTAAAAATAAAATGGCGTAGCTCCGTGAATACATTCGACTTTCAAAAATTTCAAGTCTTTAAACGCACCACGTTCCCCCTGATAAAAGCCTGTAAAAATTCAAAATAAATCGTCGGGAGGATTTTAACAAATTTAAAACAGAGAGATACGTTTTAAAGTAGCTATTATCGGCAGGCGATTCTTAGAAGTCCATTTGGAAGAGGAAAATAATAATAATATCTTATAATCGAGAGAGGCGAAGGAACATCGGGAAAGAAGGAGAATATCACAAAATCCTACGGATTCCTTTGTTACGGTCAAGGGTTAAAATTGATATGCTAATCACGTGAATTTTTACGAAACGTGAACACAGGAACGGCGGAAAGCTTTAGCCGATTACACATTCTTGGAATAGTAATATTCACCTCTCGAGGCTGTCTCGGAACCACGGATTCGATTCGGCGTGCAACACGTTGTCCGGCAGCGATTCGACCGCGTCGCGCAGGGGATATCTGTGCGAGCCGAACTCATCGTAATCTAAATCATTTGACAGACGGCCGGAGGCCGTCGTCGGGGTCGGCAAACTTTCGACGGCGCTTCTCTGAAACGAGGGAGGGAACCCGCGCTCCTGCTGATGGTGGTCCCACGATGGCGGAGGCGGCAGGATCTCTCGGACCGGTACTCGATTCGAGGGAACGGCCGACGATAAACTCACCAGCCAAGTCAGGATAATCCAAGTCGCCATGGCTGAAATGACAAATCGCATTGGCATCGCAGTTTCTTACACGCGCCCTCCCCATCCCTCCGAGGAAACCTGCTTGCTGAATCCCTCTTTGCAATCTCGAAATGCGCTATTTTTACGGCCGGCTCTAAAGAGCCGGTTTAAGAGCACCGAGTATCCTCTTCTTCGGCCAGGACGTAGGAGGTACGCGTCGGAATGCATTTCACGCTGGAGGATTTCACGTACGTCAGTTTGTTTACCCGCGCCTTTCAAGATATCCCGATCGTCTCGTTTGTTCCACGAGACAAGGAATCGCGCGAGGAATCGTGACACAAAAAAAAAAGACGGCCTTGAAAATGCGAAGACTCAACGTCCGTTTGTAGCGTCTTATTGCTCTTCCTACCCGCGCGCGTGTCTTATTTATTGCGATTTCCAGTTAGGTCCGTCAATAGCCCGGCACGCATAATTATGCGGCACGCAACGAATTCAATAACGAAACTACGATCCCATTCAGAATATTTACGAGACGGAGAACGGAATATAAATTTCTGTACTTTCTTAAGTACGTATTAAAATTTTAATTGTATTTTTAGAGGATATCTTTTATTCAATCATTGAAAGAGATAGCTTTTGAAAATTTGTACGGCATCTGTCTGTAGCAAATATTTTATTATGTTTCCAAAAATGGCCGTGAAAAATTTATACCACTCTCATTTGAATTGTTTAAAAATGAAAACGTATAATATGACGTATAATATGATATTGCCTATTAGAAATATAATTTGTAAAAAGATAAGACCATATGAATAATTTGTATTATATGGAATTCCATATTTTTTTGTAATCCTTTAGGCACTGTGAAAACACAAACATTTCAAGACATGATTAGAAAAATGATAACATTAATCAATTTTCTTAATTCTTGCATAACAAATTAATAAAAATTTCTTTTACTTTTGTAAATAAAAAATAATATCACATTATAAAAGTCAAGATTAATGATGATTTACAAGTTTTTGCTAGAGAAAATTAAATGGTACAGATTATTAAATCTGTAATCGAACTGTTTTCTTTATATACACTCAATTAACAAAAATGATTATTTGATTGAAACATGTAATGACTCATCCGAAAATTAGCGGTTTTTTTGTACATTATTTATTTATGATGCTTTTCCTATTATTCTCTCTCTTTCTGAAAATTTCAAAATTTATTTAATACAATTCTATTTAATAGCATAAAAACCCACGATTTAAAATAAAGATACAATTTTTAAGATGCAATTTATGTCTTATTGTACTCTGACAAAATGTGCGCCACGTCATTCAAAGTATCAGTGTTAACAATGGATGGAAATATCATTGTATTCCAATATCGTGATATTATATAATTTCACAATACCCTACGACTTCTTGCACCGCCCGGATCGCCCAGATCGAAATCCCTAAAAACCGGAAAATTTTCCACGCGATCGCGAGTCGCTGTTACAAACGGACCTCCTTGATTCCTTTTTCCTTCCCGCGGCACCGATGCGTGTGTCGGAATAAACTGTCACTGACGGGACTCGATGAGGCACTTGTCTGGGCGGCGCGCGATCCGGCCGCACGGAAGCGGGGCCCGCTTGGGTCTCCTCGAAGAGGTTGCGCGCGATGAATTTTAAAAGACACCACCGAGAACGGCGGGGAGGGCCAACAATCTGGTATTCCGGACGCGCGAGGACGTCCATATATACCTACTCCTCCGTCCAAGGGGACCCCTCGCCATCCTGCCCACCAAGCCCCCGCTCTGCGACGACCTTGACCACGAGAGGAGCATGACTTCTCGTCCGCCTCGTATACGCCCTGGATGCCCAAGACGAAATCTCAGCCGATCGATTTAGATCGGCTTCTTCCCTCGGATGGGATCCTGCTTCGACGAGCGAAAGGTGAGATCGCAAATCCGTGGAAAGTGTCGCGAGACTTGGGGGACTCTTCCGATAATAATTTTTAATTAGAGCAACCATCGATCGTTAATCTTTCTAGTAGTAAAGCTCTCTCTGTCGACAAAGGGAATGTAAACGTTATTTCGTTAGCTTTCGAAGCTTTATCGGCGAAGGGAACTCGAAGAAGCCTCGCAAAAAGATTGGCGACATTCTTGCCAAATAAAGATAGATTCCAAACTGGTCCGGGAATTTGTCTTTAAAAAAACAACCGGTTTTTTTTAGAATTCTGTATACGCGATTCTTTAACTTCACAACGAGATCTTCCAGAGAGACTTCATTCGCCCGTGGATGCTAACGGATTGTAACGAGGATTAATATTCGCGGGAACGAATACAGCGCGGAAATAAAACGCGTATTTGTACGTTAGAAAAGATTCTCGCTATTACGATAACGGTGTCGCGAATTTTCAACGATTTAAATTTACATATAAATTCTGTCATTATATCGCGATTCCTCTTGACTTGTTACAAACGTAAACGTATGGCAATTACGCATTTATTAATAGCACAACAGAATTTGCAAGTAAAAATAAGAGAATACATTTACTAAGGATTTACTAAGGATTCTTCGTACTCTGTTTATCGAATGACGGAAGAGAGACAGTTAACGACGGAGGAGCAAGAAAGAAGGGAGAAAAAACGCCGGCGGAGGAGTCAGCGTCCTTGATGGCCGACGTTGATATCGAGCCCCTGCCGAAACGGATTATCAGCGGTCGCATACCGCGTGAAATATATTATTGTCGTTTGCAAGCGTGTAATTAGAGCTCGAAGTGGTTTACCCAGCGATCCAGTCAAGCCGTACCTTCCCATCTGTAATTAGCAATTTGCCTCCGCGAGCGGCGCGGCGGTTCAGAGGGTTCAAAGGGGTACGGATCATCAATACGAATCATCATCTCGGGCAAAACGTTACGTGATTCAATTTCACACCTCGCTGTGCGATATGAAATGGAGACGGTTGTGAGATTCGGTATATTGTGGCCGGACACTATCCGCGATAATGGCACGGGTCTTGGAGTGCCTTTCAAAAATAAGGCACCCTACGTGAAAAGGAGCGGCAGCGATTTGCCTTGAACTTCGCGAGTTCGTTCGATCTATCGGCTTGTTTTCTTCGCTCGTCTCTCTTCGTCACCGCGAGTGAAAGGGAGATAAGGCTAAACTTACTTCAGTTCAAATCCGCGAGATCGTTATCTTCCCGCGTCCTTGTCCTTGCGGGTCGTCTCGCATTTTCGAACATGCAACATTCGCAAGAAGTGTGAAGTAATAAAATACGTTGACTTTTAATGTGCGTTGCGTAATTTTACTTTAGCTCCTCGGATCTCCGATTCTGAAAGAGCGATTACGGGAAATATAACGGAGATTTATTAGCGCAGAATTAATTATACATTATTCATCGGATCATCCAAATCGCAATTTATTCGAGTCAATCTGTCGTATTTCGAATCTATAAACTAACAAACTGTTAGCGTGTGTTGCTCAACGCTTCGCTTACAGGGGATAATTTTTTCGGTACACTCCCGGTCATTCGGCGCGGTACCGTTGCAGAATGCTCCAAATATCTCTTCTTTTCATAGTTTTTCTGGCATTAGAAAGCTCCGAATACGAGGCGAACGCCCGGCGACTGACGATAATGAAAAACGTCCGCCAGGAGAACAAAGGGCCCAGGGGTCTGGGGAAGGGGAGTTAGACGGGTATTCAAATTTCGTGTGTAGCGGTCCCCGGTTAATTGCATTACCTCGGGGATCCGTGTAGGTTGCGTTTGAAGTTCGATTCTCTCTGTTCCTCGACGTACGGGTCCGCCTCGAGCGTGATTAGCAGGCCGGATTATAAAGTGAGACGCGGCGCTTAAATGTTCGAGTCGAGTTCAATGCCACCTCTAGCGAAACGACGAGGCGGAGAAGGACGGAGAGACGAGGGGGGGAAGGAGAGGAAGAAAGAGAATTAATATCGTAGAGGTATAAATTTTATGTGTCATAAGACCACGCGCGAGGAAAGGGAGAGAAGACGAGGGAAAAAGAATAATAAATGCGGAATCCGTAATCGTCGGCCGTTAATGGGCGGGCGAGGTGAAGCGCCGTCGGTGCAGAGCCGATTTAGGGATGCAAATGAACTCCCCCTCTCTCTCCATCCCTCTTCGCTCTGTCCCGTTTTTTTTTTCCCCCTAATTCCGAGTATCCATAATTATGCCGTTGTAAAGTAATCGCCGCGTCGTCGAGAATAATATACTTCGCGAGGTAAGGTATAAGGGCTGCGCCGATAAATCAAGGGCGAATCGCTGGCCGATTGGCGGTTTTTAGCGGACCTCGCTCGGGGACCAAAGAGGAAGAAGGAAGGAAACACGTTCTATGACTATTCACAAACAAATCTATTTATTCGGCGTGTACGCTCGCATAATTATCGATTAACATCAAAGCGAAATAGCTTCTTTCACACGTACTACATATGTATTACACACACTCACACTCATGCCCGTTGCTCGCTAGACATGGTACGTCCATCTCATGGCGTTGATATTTTTTATAAAGCGAAAGTGAGGAAGATTCGATTATTAGCCTCTGTTTCGAGAAAAATAATGGAACGAAACCGAGAGTTATGCAAAAAAATGTCGTTGCTTATCGCCGTAAGTTCGAGGGGCAACGCGTTATATCATAATAATTGGCCCATCAATCATTAAGTGTGCATCTATCAGGAGAAGCGCAAACGTAGCTATCTCCTATCTTTTTCGCGACAGATTGTTACACGGGAACGCTATTAACACGTGGAGGACAGATCGACCCTCGCGATGGCAGAAACGACCACCTCCTCCTTCCCCCTCTCTCTTTCTCTCTTTCTCTCTTTCTCTTTCTCTGTCATTCGCCTTTTAAGAATCACGACAAGATCTGTACGTTTTACTCCGTTCATATCTGCGTGACGTCTCTCCACACGCATTAAAGTCACGAAACGGCTCCTGGAGACAAATGTGAGTCAAACGGGTTTTCGAAGACGAGTGCGAAACGTCGCGTAAATCATCTTGAAAGAACGACGCACTCGAACATTATGAAACAGATATAATTCGACGATAATTAAATAATCGTGCTACTAAAATCATCGGTATATTAATTTCGCGGCGCGACGCGCGTTTCCCTGACGAGAATTACAAAATCTTACGATCAACTTTCGCAACTCCGAAAGTAAAAAAAATAAAAAAAAATAATAATAATCTTGTCGAGAGAGCGACGAATGTAATAAAATGCAGAAAAATGCAGAAAAATTAATCGCGTCTGACATAAAAGATTTCTTTAAGAATGAATACCAGCGGCACAAAATCTGAAAAGATCGGCGACTCCGAAATCGAAAAAATGATCGGAAAACTTTTTTTTTGTTCATTCGCAATTTTGTTCTTCCGATCTCGCTAATCGCGTTTTTTCATTCGATATAGCGCAAATCGATTTCCGAAAATGATTTGAAAATGATTTCCTCCCTTTGCATCGTCTCATCAGACATCCAGGCTCCGTCGTGGCGAAAATGTCACGAAGGTATCGGAGATCGCTAATCCATTCGCCGTTGATCGACACGCCTTCGTCGTAGATCTACGAAGGGTCTTAACGCAGAATCAAGGCCACGCCACCGATCCCGGCCCGCTTTTACAGTCGCTGGTTAGTGACCTCTGCGCCCATCCCAGAGAAGAAGTCGGAGATTTCGACGCTGTTGGTCCGCTTCTTCTTCCTCGCTTTTTTTACTTTGCTCTCTTTTCCATTTCATCTCTCCCTTAGTCTGGCCGCGGAACGAAAAGAAAAGTGAACGACAGCGTTTATCTATTTTGCACAATATCAAAGTAACGGTGGCAAATTCAAAAATCAAAAATTACAATCTAATCAAAAGAGGAAGTTATAATAGGAAATTCGTTGCCGTTGTAACTCTGTGATGGAAATATATAAATATTATTACATTTTTTTACTACATAAAAAGTAATAGAAATTAATAACAAATTAGCAAAAATCAGCATTTGATATAACTAATCTTTACTTCATCTCTTTCTGCTCTCTCTCTCTCTCTCTCTCTCTCTCTCTCTCTCTCTCTCTCTCTCTCTCTCTCTCTCTCTCTCTCTCTCTCTCTCTCTCTCTCTCTCTCTAGTTTTCTAAGATGCAACAAGATTTATATGAAATATCAATATTTTACAATAATTTACTATCATTTAATTTCTAAATGATAGATCGGAAAAGGAATCATCGAACGAATGCTCTCAAGTATACGTCGCTTTGAGAGCTTCGGAGCCTTTTCTCGCGAGAGATCTTTCCCTATTGTGTACCAAGTGCTGATGAGCGTTTGTCCCAATATAATTATACGATTTATCTCCCCTTTTGTCCTCGTCCCCCTCCCCCCCTTCCCTCGCGTCCGTTTTCCCCGAAGGATGACAATGTCGCGATTCACCATTCGTCGCCCGGTCGACATATCGTTCTGCGAATGAGTAATGCGGGCGGCCAGGTGATTTATATCTTCGCGAGGTATGAAAAGGACAGGCCGAGAGATGGGGGGTCAGGAGGAGGGAGGGGAGAAGTGAGAGCGGGAGCGGGAACGTGCCGTCGTCGCTAGCCTTCGCGAGGTCGGGTTTCCTCGTGCGGGAAGCGCGCGTTCCTCCCGAGATTAAATACGACACTGACCCTGACGAGACTCGCATTCGCGACGACCGCAACGAGACAAGTGCTCGTAATGCTCGTCGCTCTTCCTTAATGATAGCTCTCGTCTCGACGGCGCGGCGCTTCGGGCACGCGCGCCGCGATCGCGGGCCTTGATAAGCGAAAAGGTTTCCGCCGCCAGATAAAAAGAAAGCAAAAAAGAAAAAGAAAAAAAAGCGGATCGCGACTGTCGACGAGAGCGGCGGGGAGCCTCTCTCGCGACGAAAATGACGTCGTGTCGCGTCGATTATAAATATATATTAAAATCAGATTGAGGAAACGCAACTCGCGAATCTCGCATCGTTAATGCGTTATCTTTATATATATATAGGATCCGCGCAGATCTTGCGCGATACTAAAAAAGTCCATAAATTTTTTTTCGAGATGATGAGTGAGAGGATACTCGGTTGATATTCGGCAGAAAAATGAAAGCGCGTCTCAATCTTCTTAATTGATTGTCGTATCGGCGCCGGGTCGAATTTCTATTATATTTTCGGCTCCGATTTCGATGTCTTTCAGTCTCTCGTATAATCATGTTTTCAATTCTCGTCGGGTACATCGATTGTAAGCGTCATTTAAAAAATGGAAATATTTTGTATATCGATCAGTTGCAGGATTTGCACGCTTCGGCAGGATTTATTTTATATAACTTAAGGAGATAAAGCGCAATTTCCGCGATGATCTTGTTGGAGAAAGACACCTGTCGTTTGCAGGGCCGTTATCGGTCTACACCCTACGATCTATCTGTCAGAGACAGATTTCGGCAAAGAGTGCTCGGTATAAAAGAAACAGCGTCTTCGGATTCATGTTGTATTCCAAACGGTACATCGTACATCGTATACGTTGTCACTTCATCGCTTGCTGCAGATCGGTATTTGCGACTGCTTCAAGGTAATTCTTATACTTCAAGGTAAATCTTATCATTTTATTTAAATTAAATTTAATTTAATTAATTTTCGTATAAAATAAGTTCTTACAAAATTAATCTTAAATTACATTTAATTAAGTTTCATTAAATTTATAATAAATGTTATAAAGATTTAACTTTCATGTAATATAATTTTCTTTTAAATTAAAATAATATTAATAAAATATTAAATTAAAATAATGTTAATAAAATATTAATGTCAATTTTTATTAAATTTACTTTTATTAAATTCATATTAAATTTTATCAAATTTAATTCTCATGTTAATTACAATCTAATATTGTCAAATTTTTTTTCCACGCATTGTTCCTCTCAATGCAGCAGCATCCATCCAATGGCTAATTACACGAGGTACGCTTTCGTTATCGCTATTATCGTCAGTATCGTTTGCGGGGAGGACTCCAACGAGTTTGAAAATGTCGACAGAAATCTTCTTGGGTTGAATCTTCCATACGGTAGAGGACTGGTAAGTGTCCGTCCAAGTCGATCCAAATGGAAATTAAGAAACGCTTAAAAACTACTTTAATATACAACATGTCGCATTTGTCATATTTCGAAACTATATTGGATTGGCTATGACAAGATGAGATACGAGAATTAATTTACACGTTCACTCGGACTTGAAATACCACTTAAGTGATCGATACGATTAGAAAAAACTAGCAATAGTGTAATATAATACTATTAAATGAGCTCATTAGGCAAATATTTATATACATGTATCTAAAAAATATGTTTATCTCTTTTAGGATAATGAAATGCAACTAGCTAAATTATTGCTGATGGTTCCACGATTTTGTCATCCCAAACGCAATTCCGAACTTATAAATTCACTGTTGGGTTTGCCGAAAAATATGCACAATGCTGGGAAATAAAAATAATTGTACTGTACTGGACATTCACGTTTACAGAGATATACATTTTATCTATCGGCTCATCTGTCGTAAAAATATAATATCAGAAACATTTAGAAAATCGAGCACGATTTAACAGTGATGTGAAACCGATTATGTACAAAATGAATCGATATTAATAAATGTCGAAACTTATTTATCTATCCTTTCAATTTTATAATACATCTTTCTGTGGAGTAATGTGGTGTAATTATGTTTCTTTCTTTTTAAATCACATATTATATTAATCATATAAATGCTCTATATGTAATATATTCTCTTTTTACTAAAAAAATATTATCAAAATCTCAAATATGTTAAAATCTCTTTTCCGCGATGCTAAATAGTTTTCTCACTGCACTTACTTCAATAGCTGTCATCGTAGATCTCACATCTTTTGATGATTATGTATCAAGGGAGTTATCAGTAAAGTAATAATAAATATTAATTGCAAGTATGTTTTAGCATTTGCTTAATATCGACAATCTTCTCTTTTTTTATATATATTTTTATTTAATTTTAAGAAATTATATGTGTGTTAAATATTTTTATTTTAGAAATATGATATATATCTTAAATAGTTCTATTCAGATAAAAGATATCTTAAATATTCTATTCAGATAAAAGTCATTTCAAGATATTCACAATTCAGGATACAAAACTTTCTCTTGCAACTAAAATTTCAAGTGGAAACCACCACCAACTGGCGGAGCCCTACCGCCCTCTGTTAAACCCATGTGGAAACCGGAGTTGCTCAATTCAGCATCCTCACCATCGCCCAGTTGCTTATATTCTCTACCACCACTTGGAGGTTTTGGAGACGCATTTGTAGTTCTAATTCCTTGTTCCGATTTAGCAGGCCACGTAGGAAACATTTGCGGATCGATTGGCAAAGGTGCTTCAGTAAAATAACCATGACTCAGAGCATCTTCGGAGGTTACACGTTGACGAGGATCATACGTTAAAAACCTGAAAACAGAACAATTATGTTCTTGATAAAATTTATTCTGAAATTAAACTCTTCGCGTATTGTTCTCATTGCTCAGGAATAACTTACTTGTTTAGCAACTCAATGCCTAGTTCAGACAACGACAGACTGAATCTTTGTCTAAGATTATTTACAGGATAATGCGCAAACGGAATCTTTTGTACTATGGGTAATTTAGTGTACCCCGGCCAAATTCTTTCACTTGGTGTACCCAGCTCCTTAAAGATTTTATTCAATTGATCTATATCCGATTTTCCCGGGAATAGTGGTTCCATCCTTAAAAGCTCGGCAAAGATACATCTAAAAATGGTTATTCGTATTTAATATTGTAGTTCATTAATATCGATAAATTTGAAAACCTTTGATATTAAGTTGTACTTACCCTACGGACCACATATCTATAGGTGTACTATATAATCCTGCATATTCCTTATCACACAGCAATAATTCAGGAGCCCTGTACCAAAGTGTCACAACAATCGGTGTGTATTGTCTTAAAGGAGAGCCATATTCCCGAGCTAAACCAAAATCGCCCACTTTCAAAATACCCCTGTGACTTAATAGTAAATTGGATGTCTTTAAATCACGATGCAATATCCAATTATCATGTAGATGCGCAACCGCGCGCAACAGTTGCTGCATTAGACACTTAACTTCTCCTATAATAGAAAAACATATTGATTTTTTTCTTGCATATACTTTGTAATAAATTAAGAATATCAGTACGTAATAGAATAATTAAGGATAACAATATTAAGGATAATTAAGGATAACAATCTCTTTGATTTGAACTACAGTGCTCAATTTTTCATAATTGAAATCATTGTAAAAAATATACATACCAGGAATAAAAACTTGCTTTTTCTGCTTCATGGTTTCTATAAGGGATTTTAGATCGTGTTCTACGTAATCCATAACAATAAATATCTTATCCATATTACTGCCGACGACTATCTCTCGTACGGTAACAATATTAGGATGTTGCGCTTTTAACAATGTGTTGATCTCCCTCAAACTCGTAATTGGAAAACCTTCCTTCTCTTTTTCCATTTTCAATCGTTTCAACGCGACTATTTCATCTGTACGTTTGTCGCGTGCTCTGTATACAACTCCGTATGTACCTTCTTCGATTCGATTTAAACATTGAAACTCCTCGACGCTTCTGCAACCTAAAAAATAGAAAATTTACAATACATCCTAATATTGTTACCGAGAGATAATCGTCGGCAGTAATATGGATAAGATATTTATTGTAAAACGAATAATAAGAGAAAAAAAGTGTTTAAATATTTAAAAGTCAAATTTAATTTTTGTTTTACCTTGAATAGCAGGCAAATATGGTGGTAATTCCGGTTCTACCTCTTTCTTTTCCTCTTCTTCTATATTCTTCGAAGGATTATTAGAATCAACATGTCCGGGAGAATCTCCATCCGAATGATCGGACTTGGCTAATCGATCAACAGATAAAGGACTTGGATTATTGTATTCCGAGCCATCGTTAGAATCAGCACCGGAACCTTTATTCGACTCATTAGAATCATCATCGTCGTCGCTGCTCGATTCCGAAGAATCGGATGAGTGTCGCTCCGAAGATCTCTCATGTGGACTTCTCTCACCTTCCGATGAATGTCTAGATTCAATTGATTTTGATCGTGCGCCCTCAGAATGAATAGGACTGACGCTTTCATCTGATAACTCTACAATCGAAGGATCTGGATTATTATCTGGACTCATTGGCCGTTTCTCGCCTCTCTTCATTCTTCTCGCCTCTAATTCCATCCTAGATACCTCTTTTCGCCTAGCCATTTCTCTATCGGCTTCCAATAATCTTTCCTTTCTGAGTTCTTGCTCCGTCATCTCCTTGGGATCTTTAATCTGTATCGAGATCTCATTTGGCACGTCCACTTCCATTTCATTCGCGATTTCTATCGCTTCTCGCAACTGTTTGTTCTCCTTCTCGCGCTCCATCTTTTCTTGATCTCTCTCACGAGTTCTATCGTGTTTATGAGATCTCTTGCGACGTTTCTCGGATCGTTCCATCATCTCGCTCTCCGAGAATTGCTCATCCATGATCATCCGTATGTGTCTTTGGTCCTCTATACGAATCTCGCGACGTTCTCTACTGTCCTCCATCGTACGCACTTCACGACGAATATCTTCTAACCGTACATCTCGCCGATCACGCGATTCACGTATCTCTCGCGTCTCCTCTATTCGTAGGTCGTGTCGAGACTCGATCTTATAGTTACGAGTATCTCGCGGATCCTCCCGTCTCTCTCTTCTCTTATCCAATAATCTAAAACACGAAATTTTTATCTAATTAATTTAAAAAAAAAACAGTTTGTATGAAAAATTATTAATATTTCCACTTTTAATCGATAGATAAACATAATATGACTTACCTTTCTCTCAAGTCTTCTAAAACACGATCTCCCGTACTTCTTTCTTTACGATCGTGCCTAGAAGATTCTCTATCTCTAGAATGGGTTTCCATCCTGTCTAGACGCTCCATTCTGTCGCGGTTCCTCTTGGAACTCTCCAAACGTTCGGATCTCTCCATAGGTTCTCCCACATGTCTGCGATGCCTATGCTTGTCCCTGTGCCTGTCCTCACGTTCATGCTGACGTGATTTGCGTTCTTTCTCATCACGACGATTTCTTCTGTCGCTGTGTTTCTCTCTTCGACGAGACGAACTAGATTTGTGATGACGCACCACTGCCTGTGGTGGCTTAATATCCAAAGAGTCGGCCGTGTCGCCACCCTCTTCTTCCGAAAAACTAAAGACAGAATAAGTAATCAAATTTAATCAGTTTAATGATATTGTTAACTTTCTAAATATTTATGAAATAAATTTTTAAAATGTAAACTCATAAATATTTGTACCAAAAATATCATGTCTTGTTGTCAATGTTTTGTTAATTCACTTTACAAACCTTTACTAATGCATTCATAACAAAAGTTAATATGCCAGTTAACATCCTGGCTAAGGTGATTTTTCTCGCTAAGAATTTCTCGTGGTGGATTGAAAAAAAAAGAGGTAATTAATATTAAAATTAAAATTTGATTATCGATTTATTAAAGAGGAAAGATTAACAAATGAATGACAATTTGACCCACACGAAATATAATAAACAAAATAACTTGCGTTATCCCGTAGAGTTCGGATTACCTAAAAATTCTGGGCAGCATCGCTCGTCATTCTGCTTTCGATGTTTTTTATCTATCGCAAAAAAGAGAAATACGGAATGGAGCTGGTTCGCCGGGCGTCAATGAAACCAATGGAAAATCCTCGTGAAGAAATCCGGCGTTCACGAGCGCATACATATATACGTACTGTTGCAATTGCGTCACAACAAACTCCGAAATGCGAAAAGACCAAACAAAAATTGTAGCGCAAGCGCGCACATGCGCTTTGAACGTTATTTTCACAGCTAACCTATAGAGAGTTTTCACGTGGCTCACACAATGCGGCGCGACAAATATAATTTTACTTATCAAAATGATCGAGAAGACTCAAATTGTCAAGCCATAAACATAATGATTTTCGTAACCGGCTCGTTGTGATAACACTCCAGATGTAATTTCAATCAAATTTTATAATTTCAATCGCGGTTACGCCGTAAATATGTAAGGCGCAAATCATACCTATAATCACCCATGTCTTTCAGCGGACTCTTCTTAATTTCTCCGTCTTCGCTCTGATTATCAATGTCCATATCCAACTTATCCGACATTTCGCGCGAGTGGTTAACCGATTTTTAACCTCTCCTCGGCGGAGAAACGCTCGTTACGCACGAACGCGTCCCCATTTTCGGTGAATCGCCGCCCGCGAGAAAACGTCAGGACAACCAGCGTGACAATTAATTGCAGATTTTTTTATTGTAAATGTACGACGAGACACAAAACGTATTTTTCACAATCACTCGCGTCTCGTGACTTCGAGTTCCGTATTACGCCGCTTCGCTGCAAATTGGCACACCGTTTCTTGAGATAGATTTCGGAAAACACAATGGTGACAAAACGGCCGGAAACGTCTCGATTTGATGGACTTTAGAACGCCATCATAAATTGTCTCTTCGAATTTTTTTTCTCGAATTGCAATAAATCATTTTATTTTGTTTTTGAATGAATCTGCTTTGCAAGATTCATTAAGAGAAAGATCTCTGTTGTGAACGGATTAAAAAAGAATTTACGGCTGCGTTCCAAAAAACTGAGAATATATATAAAATCTGTTCGTTTTAGCTGACTTTTTGCACGGTTCCTCTTTTCTCTCTTTTCCTTCAAGGCGGAAAGAAAAAGAGGAAGTGATTCGTGCAAGAAGTTCAGAGTTTCTAAAAAGGACAGGTCTATAGTTTATGTCAACGTGTATTATAGATTTTTTGGTACTGGCGGTGAATTTTAGAACACGGTCCAAATACAATAAAGAGGAATAAAGATATCTTTTTTTTTTTATATTAACGCTCAATGATCATTTTTGACATCAAAACAGGTTTTCTGTTCCTACATTTTGCTGGACTAGTCAGCTACAAAAAAAGATCACAGGTCACGTGATTGGAGTTGCAGGATAATGAAATTTAGGCTGTGTTTCTATATAGGAACAGGAGAGTGTGAAAATATATAGTTCAGGTCACGTATATTATAGATTTTCGGTACTCGCAGTGAATATCGGAACGCAGCCTTAAATAATAAGTTTATTTTGGCGCCGAAAATAAGTGTCAACGCGAAAAGATCATTCCAAGGAATGAAGAAAAACGGTCAGATTTATGATAATATTTATACTTCGTTTATATAGCCGGTTATTTTGACTATACAAGCAAAAATGTACAGCGGTAATGATGACGTTCGCCGGTGTCCTTATAACAAGAATCATCGAGTGCCTAGATCAAGATTTCAACGACACCTTGTAAAATGCGAAAAGGTAACAGTTTCATAAACCGCGATCATGTTTCGTGTGATAAATATGTACGAAATTCTCTTTCAGAATTATCCATCTGATTATAAGGTTATCTGTCCATACGATGCAACTCATCGTTTGAATAAACAAGAGATTGGAGAACATATTGAAACATGTCCCATGAGAAAGACTGTCGAAGCAAGTTATATTCAATGTAAGTATGATAATTTTTTGAGAATTTGAGAAAATTTTCATCGTTTAATTATATGATATACTGATCGAATTTAATTGTATGTAATACCAGTAACCGATAGAACAGAAGAATGCAATTCTACAAGTGAAATTGACTACAATAGCTACTGGAATAGTAGTCAAGAAGAAATATAAGAATGATCAAAAATCTTCCCAATCTCTATAGTATTATTTAATTAAATATGGCATTAATGAATTAATCAGAAGAAACATGGGATCACTTGTTCAGATATTGGATATCAGGTGACCAAGACACATCTATGTTAAAAATTTTTTAGTATATAACTATCACACAGATGAGATGGAATCAACAATAAATATGAGTGACAATTGTATTTTTGTTAGAAAAGGAAAGAAAGAAAAAAAGATAAAATTTTTATTTCGCAAAATGAAACAATAAAAATATAAATAATTTTGACAAATATTTTTTTACTTCATCGACAAACAAATTTCTATAACTGTTTTCTTCTACATTTCAGTCAGATGCTTTTATTATACATAAGTTTTGTTTATGTTTATATTTTACATTGATTCTAGTATTTACAAGTATCATTTGAAGAGAATTTTCACAGAGAATTGCGCAGTACATATGTATGTGTATGCTTATGTACATATATTTATTACATTTGCATATATGTACATACACATTCATGTATGCATATAAAAAACAATCGAATGTTAATCAGTTTGGACAATTTATTTTTGAATTTATATGTACAAATAGATCGCATTTTATTAATATATTAAATACTTCAACTGGTGTGTATGTGTGTTTATGTTTGCCCCATTATTATTTAACAAATTTATACCAAAGATCGCTATCTAATACGTCTCAAAATTCTTAAATTTCGAGTTAAGTCTTTTATCTTCCAAAGTGAAAAGATACATTGCGCAAAAGTATTACAAATGATCTATAGCATTTATTAAACAATACTCATCACTCTCTAAATGTATTTCCTTAAAAATTTAGGACTAAATGATTTTGATGCTGAAATCATGTACAATATCAAATTCTTGTATATCGATGTTTAAACACGGACGTTTAAACACGGGTATGAATAACGGACATTAATAACTATTCTCGATTGTTCAAATCACGATCCGTTTGTTTAATACCGCAATGCGTATGTTAAATACGAAGTATATAAAATTTATATTTACATTTAATGATTTAATTACAGAATATATCATTATGTTATCAGTATGTGGCACTGTTAAAGCAAAAACATGATAAAAATGATAAACGTGACGCTGGATAAATGCAACTATTATTCCAAAAAATAAAAGTGTAGATAAATCATACGAGATGTGATATTAAATCTTCAATTAGTGAACAGTTTAGAATTTAATGCAACACAATAACAAAACTATATTCTTTAAGTGTTGCAATTTCTTTGGAATGTTTTATATCCATCGCATAGAATACACAAATAATAAATGACGCGTAAATAGTTTGATAAAGAAAGAATAAAAATATATGTATAGACTCACATAACCATATGTATATACATATATGCATTCATCTGTTAATGGAAATTAACAAGAAAATATTTTGCATATATACATATATGTATATAATAAATTATGATGAAAAGCAGCTAGGTCACAGAAATGATGCTAGTCTCTTATTATCCAAAATAAAATAATATATTAAAAGCATCAAGCAAAGCGTCAAAAATTAATGTAAATTTGAAGATATAGCATTTATCCGTAAAAAATTACATTTATATTAGCTTTACAATATAAGACCAAAAAACTGGTAACATCTGAAGCAAGATTCTATATAGATCGAGATATATTTTTATATGTTTTTGTTTAGCAAAAGAACATATAAAAGTAAATCAAATTAAATGAAATAGCAAGATTCTATATAGATCGAGATATATTTTTGTATGTTTTTGTTCAGTAGAAGAATATATAAGAACAATAAACCATACATTATTTTAAAAATAATGGCCACATTTTTTTACCGTTTTTTTGAAGATCAAAAAATGATATATCTCAATTTCACGTATATCTTTAAATAATAGTACTATTGAAATCATTAAAAATTATAAATTTCTAGTGTAGATTTCATGTCATTGTTGTTTTATTTTTAAATGTCGAGTTTTCGTGGAAGTATATAGTATAGTCATTTATTACTAGTTTATACTATTTAACATTATATTTCCGCGGGATATGTTTTTTGAAACTTACCCGCTGCCACATACATCGAAAGACGTAAGAAGTAATGTAGCTTAATTATGATTAATATAATTTTGAATACTGACATGTAGTCAGCAATTATTTACAACTTTCTAAAGTATGTTTGGAGCAATATGTTGGCAGTTCGCTAGCTGCAGTCTGTGTTAATGTTTTTATTGTATAAAAACTGTAAATTTATTGAGCGCAATTGTTGCACAACAGCGAGATCATTGCACTATATTCGTCAACTGCACAGAATTGATGCATTTGTCCGACAGAATATATCGTGCAATATTGACAATTATGTTGGTTTGTATGCTAATTGCTTTCTTTCTCCGTGCTGGATGCTACTCTGTCTTTCTTTACTTTTATCTTTATACTTGCAGAATTCTCGTCACATTAGCACCATTTATATATTCGTCGATTTTTTCTTTTGTTGTTTCCACACAGATATCCTTTCTTTCAAGTCGAGCACTGCAATCAATCATCAGTTCATCAATAATCATCGTCAGTTTGATTTTTACAAGTAAAATTTCTCCCAATTTTTATGAAAAATCATATAATTGACATAAAATTTTTAGTAATTTTAAAATTAATATTAGAATTTTAAAAAATATTAAAAGCTTTAACATGATATTTAAAATCCACAAAACTGCAAATATTTCTGGAATGCATATAAAAATGCATTGCTATGAAATGTTGTTTACTCAATGAATATATAGATCAAGAAAAATTTTATCAAATAAAAAGAATGCGAACGGCGCACTTACTCGGTGTGAGCATGTCTTCGCTTAGCGGCTGCCGGCTGAAAGGATCTGTGGCACTATTGAGTAAATGTCTAATGATAACTGCCTTGTCCATAACAATACCAGATGGTAATTTGACTGGATCCTCCATAAGAGTGTCCATTAACGGATCTCGGAATTCTTCAGGAGCGTCACCGTAATCTGCGTCGCGCGCACGATTATCTCTCGCGATTATCGCCGCGCGCTCCGCCAGCGCTATGAATCTCTCGATTTCCGTGGTAGTTTTGATCGCAGATCTCTCCAGCCTGCTCGCAGCGTCAGTGAACAATTCCTTACAGAACGAACGCTGGAAAAGGAAATATACAAATTTTTTATTATTTATACATTTAATAAAATATGTGAGTGATGATTATGAGATGGAAGACACTAACTTCATCACTGGCTAAAGCAGCCGCGAAATTATCACAGTCAAGATGCAAATATATATCAACCAATTGACTGAGTAACGTCCTTGGTTGCCACCCATATTTCTGTGGTTTTCTCACTCTCAGATTTTTACACTTAGGTCCGCACAACTGTTGTAAATTGAAATTTAGCATGGCACACAATCGCCCGACTAATTCCGGTCGTAGGAATGGCTCCTTAATGTCAACCGTCAGATAATGAAACATAGCAACTGTTTCCTTGGCTAGTGTAAGATAGGACCTGGCTTGTCTCTCATCCGCTGTCAGCTGTCTCGACCTCGAATGTTGTTGCTCTTGGGAAAGTGCACTCCACGCGCTGGTATCCGACATGAGTTCTTGCACCTCGTGTATACGCTTCAGAGATTCCAAACTTTCGTCAAGGAGAAAGGTGGTGTCGTTCATCAGCATGTTGATAAACTTGACAAATTGCTTGCCATTATTGCTCTCATTCACGATAGACGCTCGATGTATCGGACTGTCCCACATCGATTTCAAGATCAGGCTTATGTGATAACGTATTGAAAACTTGTCGTAAAACTCTGAACTGGAACCAGTGGTTTCAACATCGGTGTAAAACTTCATGAGATATGATGCCAGAAGTGTCTTGGATATCGGATGCGCCATGACTTTATCATGGAGAGTTTCCGTTCTTCCCTATGGTAGAGATGAAATTAATATATTTATATAGAGAATATCATTTAGGCATTCTTTGCGATTTAGAAATTTACCTGAACACTAGGATTTATCACAAAGAGGACTTCGATGATTTTCGCGATTAAATACGGATTTCGTATACAATGCGGCGTACACACAACGACCAGTAACCAAGTGATAAGTGAATTATCCATATTACTTGCCACTACTCCAGGGCAGAATCTATAAATAAGAATTAGTATTAATAAGCAATATGTATAAAAAGAAAGTGTATCGCATAATTGTAAAATTTAACAATATAAGAACTTACTGGAGCGCAAACAACAAGAATTCCGCTATATCCTCCACATACCATTCCGGCAGCGCGGTAAATTTGCATGTAACTTCCTGAGGAAGTGGAAGTTTTGGGAGAGGATTACCCGGGGCAGTCTGCGTCAGAAGACTTAACAAAACCTCAGCCACAGATATATAAAAGTGTAAGCATCTTCTCAAAAAGACGGGATCTATCAGACCCGCGTCTGCACACGATTTGGATTTAACTAATCGCTTCAATTGCTGCTTCCATTGCTTAATTAAGTCTTTATTGTGTTCCGCGAAGGGGCTGTCTTTCCATTGAGGTTCCGTGGCTTGCAGTTCGTCGAGCATCTTCTGTAAGTCGCGTAACGCCCGCAACTTTCTCTGATACTTTTGCAATGCCGGTAACAGCGCGATATGATGGCAATGCAACGTTAAGAACCAGCATTGTGTCGGGAATTTTGATTCCGTCCACTTATGCGTCTTCTCCAGGTGCTTCTGCCACTCCGCGACCTCCTGCGAAGTGAGTTTCAGTCTTGTGTCGTTCTTTATTTCGACAAAGCTGGAGGGATGAAATGGATACAGGGGATCCACGGTATCCAGTTTGATTTTCACAGAAAGCATTTGCAAAACCGATAGTAGATTTAACATAAATCCATCCCCGGCCAGAGAGAACTCCTCGGTCTGTATTTGCGCGCGTTTCTCATTGTGACGCAGCAATGCGGCTAAGTACGTTAAGGTGACATCGCGACAGTTGCTGTTCGCGAGTATCGCATGAAACATCTTGTGTAATGAAGTTCTAGTACTTTCTAACTCTTGCTGTAAGGATAGATTCACAGATTTGTCTGTAACGGGATTACCACTGAAGAATTTCTCCGCCACTTTCGGTTGTTCCTCAGCGAACACCGATACCGACAGAAACGGTCCCAAAAACGAAGTCCTCGTGAGTTCTCTGCCACCGGCTGACGTCATAATGTCGGGCAAGAATTGTACTTGATTCGTAATCAGACGGCAAATCGGACGTATGTTGCCACTTGGTCCGCAGCGAATTTCTATTAGTTCTTCCAGCGTCTCGATGGGTCTTCTGTGTGTATTGCCAACCAAGCTTGCTTGTTGCATCGAGAGATAAAGGCCTTGCAAGACCGGGGTGAATATCTTATTGAATATGCTGGAATTCGTGTGCGTTCTAGCCACGAGCTCGTGAAGGTATCCTCGAGGCAAGCTTTGCGACAGTATCGGGTAGAGAAGGTAAGTAGTACACATGGGTATAACTGAAGCTTGGCAAATGCCGATCAACCCTTGTAGAACAAGGCTGGAATACTGAACACATTGCGCTTTCAGAACCGTCAGTACATCAGAAAGAGGAGGTACGCTGAATCGCTACAAAATATGTGCGTAAACGTTAGTCGAAAAGGTTAATTGATCTAACAAGAATTCATTTAATTTTCAAGATATTTATACGTATATATATGTATACGTACTTTCGGATGATTTCTTTCTTCGATCGCGACTCTTGAGTAACAGTCCAACAAATAGGTTAAACTTTTCGGTTGCGACGATTTGCTGCCTATGGGCAATGGCATAGTTGGCAATTGGTAAGACGGAAGAGTCACGACAGGACTTAGCAGAGGGCTCGCTTGATTATTTGGGCTATCTTGCCGATCGGACGACATGTCTACAGTGACATCCTTGAAGGGATCCTCCCCCTTCGAAAATATACACAAAATTTCCATCAAAGCTTGGTTGATAATTTCGCTAAAATCCAGTTGCCTTTGCTTTAGCACATACGCTGCTGTCTGCGGTAAGAATACATTTCCCTCGGCGGGGCTTTTCCACGATATGCGCAAGATGCGTGATATGACAACATGTATATGATCCGTTGTAACTTCTATGCTAGAACTCGTCGTCTAAAACGAAAAGAAAAGCCAATGAAAAAATAAGCTCTTATTCTATTGAAAAAAGACAACATATTTTCTCTACCTTTTTTATTAATATACATGTTTGTTCTACTTTCTTTTATTTTCATCGTAAAAATACGTACGCGTGATCTTGGTACTAAATCTTTCCTATCTGATTCGTCAACTTCCATATTTTCAATTCCCGAATTATCCATCCCACTAATATTACACTGTTTGTCGTTGTTCTCTTCTACTTCCATTGGAATCTCGGTACGCTGTAATTGTTGTTGAATAGACGGAGATATTGATCCAAATACTTTTGACGGCTCTGACGTGCTTGGAGAAGTTGAAGCAATAGCATTCGATGAACTGGCAGCTCCATTACTGTTGTTCAAGCCCTCTAGGCGGGCTAATCGCCTTCTCCTCATCTGAAGCAAAAATGAAACAAAGAAGTGGTGAGACTCTGAGCTACTTTTAGGATATTATCAAGGGATGCTTAAAATGGATTTGAAATGTCTTTGTTCCTCATAGGCTATTTTTGTCCATTGGTTTATTCATTGGTAGACAACAAAGAGAGTAAAATATATAGTCAATGTTATATTTTTAACAATGTAATGATCCAAACCTTTTCTTTCTTTGATACCATATTACTATACTCATATTATTATTATAAGAACGAAATAAAAACTCGTAAATTCGTAAAAAAAACGGAATTTTATTACTTGCATAAACCTCTGCTATCTAGTTACAAAGCAGATGAAGAGGGAAAGCAACAGAATTCAAAAGGAAATATTTTACGATTAAAAGAACAAAACAGGGGAATTATCCTCTGAACATTCGGAACGTTTAAATAATTAGATACCAGGATAAACATGTTGACAAATATGCCGAGTTTTCTTTATTAAAATACAAGGTTGATTCACGTCGCATTCATTATATAAGTGGTTTCCTCATTTGTGCATGCATGCGAATAAATTTATACAACCGATATTTTTTCCTGATAAGATGACCTCAAGAGAAGGGTAGGATCCTCCTCAAAATCGAGCGCGGACAATAGACTCGATGTTCTTTTCGCGATTGTGTGTGACATTCCG